GAGGCCACCAGTGGTTGCAGGAATTGATGGACAGGTTGGGGGGGTTTGCCCCTCCAGCAGATATCATGCACATGCAGCCCACTACCAAAATCAGCACCATCACTTTTGTGACTTTTGTGATTTATCCCCACAAAACACTTCATTCAAAGGGCCTTTGCTGCACAATACCAAATGTAACAATTCACTGATAGATGTCTCTGTGTACTGGCTCACTGGGGAAACTTCAGAAATTCATATAGAGATGTGAGCTCAGCTACCCAGCAGCCCCTCTGCCTGAGTGATAATCCCTGGCATCCTGATACCTGAGTGCCAGACAGGTAGCCATTCCAGAAATACCAAACCCAGATGAAGACAAAAGGGTGTGATTAACTTGGCTGTGATTAACTTGGCTGGGAAAAATAACTATCTCCTTTTGTTTCACTTGATGGGTGTTTGGTGGAGGGCACGGGGAACTATGGGGTAGCGTCCAGGATGCTCAGATTACTGCCACCAGACCTCCCCTTTCATGATGTAACCGTGATATGTGAGTGGTGTAGTTTTTTGGGGGGGCGTAACATGGGGATTAAAGGTAAAGGGTAAAGGGACCCCTGACCATTAGGTCCAGTTGCCGACGACTTTGGGTTGCAGCGCTCATCTAGCTTTATTGACAGCCGACGTTTGTCTGCAGACAGTTTCCAGGTCATGTGGCCAGCATGACTATGCTGCTTCTGGCGAACCAGAGCAGCGCACGGAAACGCCATTTACCTTCTTGCCACAGCAGTACCTATTTATCTACTTGCACTTTGACATGCTTTCGAACTGCTAGGTTGGCAGGAGCAGGGACCGAGCAACAGGAGCTCACCCCGTCATGGGGATTTGAACCACCAACCTTCCGATTGGCAAGCCCTAGGCTCTGTGGTTTATTAGCGCCACCCGCTAATAAAAGTTTGGGGGCTCTTTTGTACTGCAACTGGACCTAGTGGTCGGGGGTCCCTTCTCCTTTAACATGGGGATTAGCAGCTTTAAAAAGTTTGGGTTCTCTTTTGTTCGGGGCTTCCATCTTGTTCCAACTGGTGGCAGGTGGGAGTCCTGTGGTGACAGTCTTCACCAAGACCAAGCCTACTGGCTGCTGTTTGCTCCGGTATTCCTGGCGGGTGTCCTTGTTTTTTGTCCAAGGGAGCCCTCAGATTTCTCCGTTAGCACAATCAAGGTGACGTTCAGAGAGGAGGAGGCCGATCCGTGGAGGAGGAGGAGGAGGAGAGGGCGATGGGGGGCTTCTCTGCTCTGTCTCCCCCATAGGAGGCTGTCATGAGACAAAGATTCTTGAGAGCAGGAGCAGTAAGGCCTACATCTTTCAAGCCTGCTGGCTGTTAACGGTTAACAGCTAATTGCTGTGTCACTGTAACCCAGGACTCATCTCGAGTGATGACTCATTCTCCCTAGAAAAGTAGCCAGTCTCTCTGTGGGCCTCAGGAGCTGAGTAGTATTGCTTTGTGATGTTGCTGTGAATGTGTAGCGGAGTCGCCTTCAAGGGCAGTTCCACACAGAGAGCGTTGCACCCATCCCATCTGGTGCAGAGCAGGGAAGACCAGCGCCATGTCCTCTCTGTCCTGAAAGGTCTGTGGGGTAGCCTGAGCTGGACATGGGCACCTGAGCCTCAAGCGACCATGATGGACCCAGGAGTGCCCGCAAGTATTCATGACTGGGGAGGGGGAGCGTTAAGCAATGTAACATCAACATCGTTACTGCTTGTTCCCTGCCTGTCATCTGAATTTCCAAGAGCAGATTACAATTTTCTTTAAAAAGCAATAAGAACAGTTGAAAACGCATTACACTCTTAGAAAGGCGAGTTCCACTTTATTTGCTTTTGAGTGCTGACCTTTGACCCCACCCACATGTCATTTGGCCCTCAGAAGTTAGCCAGATAAGGGAATAAATGGGCCCTGAAGTGGGGTTGGGCAGGAGAGCAACTCTTGAGGAGTCCTGGGTTAGGACTCCCACTATAACCCAATGCTCAGATAACACTCAGTACAAATGAGTCACTTGTCAATCACAGGTCTGACTTCATTCCTTGATTGAAAACTCTGAAAGGCAGTAGCAAAGACCAACAGTTCCCTGCACATTTTGCATGGTCACTTTCCCTCCAGGAGGGCTGGAGACTTACTTCACCTTCTCCTTTTTATAGAAACCTCAGAGTCTGGGTTGTGGTGCAGTCCAGAGCTGGCTCTTCCAAGACTCATACATACTTCCTCACGGAACATTTTTCTCCTCCAGGCAATAGGTCAGTTTTGTAACAGAACAATGTATTCGGTTTGTAGAATTTCCTAGCACCTCTGATTTGGACAGACAGAACTTGGCAGAAGATCAAGGGATTCCTTCATCTCTCTTGGAGGCTTCCTGAGAGCACAGATGGATGAGCAAGACTCAGCTGGCCCTGGAGCAGGAAGAGGCCAGGCCATGGAAACGGGGAGCAGTGGGGGATTCTGGGGAAAAACTGTGCAGAAGATCCCGGGAGAGGAGGACACTCTCCACTCAGAGGTGCAGAGCCAGCAATTGAGGCAGTTCTGCTATCAGGAGGCCAAAGGACCCCGGAAGGTTTGCAGCCGACTCTACTGCCTTGACCATCAGTGGCTGAAGCCAGAAAGGCACACGAAAGCTGAGATGCTGGACCTGGTGATCTTGGAGCAGTTCCTGGCTGTCCTTCCACCAGAGATGGAGAGCTGGGTGAGGGAATGTGGAGCAGAGACCAGTTCCCAGGCAGTGGCCCTGGCCGAAGGTTTCCTCCTGAGTCAGGCAGAGGAGAGGAAGCAGGCAGAGCAGCAGGTGAGAGAGACTTTCCTCTGGACACTCCCAAGGAGCTCCGAACATGAGTGAGAGTATCTGAAAATTCTCTATTAATATACCATCCTTTTTTGGAAAGCAGCCCTTGAATATTATCAGATTGCCCTTCAGTTTTTGCCTCTGTCATTCCTTTTCTAACTCTTCTTCATATTCTCTATTTTGAATCTTTGTTGCTGTTTCAGAGACAGGATCTGATTGCAGAAATGGGCCCAGATTCCTCTGAGACCAAAAGGATTCTGTTGGACACCAGAGAGAGGCTGCTGGGTAAGGAAGGAGTCCGTTCTCCGTTTGGTCCCTTTCTGTGGATATCAAAACAAATCCATGGGTTCTTTTCCTCTCTTTTTTTTGGGGGGGGGGTAGACACTTGGGGCCAGAAGCACCAAGGAGGGAGATGTATTTTTTAACCCAACTAAATTATGAAATGGGTCCAAATGTCCAGATGCACTCAGAAGGTGAGACGTTTTGGAGAGCAGCTGCACTCCTGGCTTCCCACTTACCTCTGTCTCTCACAGGTGGCCAGATGATGCCAGCAAGACCTCCTCTTCCATCTATTCCTGGGGGTGAAGGAGAAGCAACAGCTGTGGAAGCAGCTCAGGTAGAGGGAGGAAGCCCTGTGGGGAAGGGGGCTGAGGGGGGGGCAGCCAGGGTGCCTCTGGCCCCCAAGGAATCTCTCTCCTCCTCTTGGCTTCTGTCCAAGCTTCTCTGAAGACGTCTTTGTCAAGGGCAGCCTAGACAGAAGCCAAGAGGCTGGGAATGCTGTTCGAGAAGTTTAATGTGCTGAGAATAAGGAACAGCCACCTTGCCTTAACTCACCTTCTGACGGTCAATAGGATGATTCATAAGTCATTGTAGTTTTATTTCTAGAGTTATCATTGAATGCTAAAATAGGCTTCTAAGCAGTTCATCAAGCCTCAAAAATAGTTCCCAGGAATCACCTATCTAGTCGCATCAGTTGCATAATGGGGTTTCCCCACCTTCTCCTCCCCCCTTTTAATGCGCAGAAAGAAACAGAAATGTGTAGCAGACAACCTTAGTGCTGTCTAAAAAGGACCTTTATCTTTCTCTCTTAGGGTCCAGTATGCTTTGAAGATGTCGCTGTTCATTTCACAGATGAGGAATGGGCGTTGCTGGATCCTGACCAGAGAGCTCTGCATAAGGAAGTCATGGAGGAGAATCACAGGATTGTGGCCTGTCTCAGTAAGGCTGCCTTGTGGATCATGACCTCTGTTTAGAAATTCCATGCATATCTCTCTCTGATAAGCCTCCCTGGTTTTGAGGGAGGTCTGCAGGGCCACTTGCAGCACCTGGGATTCTAATACCCCCCAAACTCACCTTAAATGGAAGGCTATTGACTGTTGTGACCATGGACATGATCAAGCCAACATAGACATTGCTGAGAATGAAATGGGAACATGCTGGGAATCTGAGGTCAGGAGAACACATCTTTGTTGACACTGTCCTGCCTTGTATTGCCCAAAATCTTCCTGATATGGAGCATATGGAAGACATTGAGGGTTTTTCCCCCTACTGGTTGTAATTGTCCACAATTCACTTCACAAACTGCTTGCTCAACGCACAATCCTGATAGACCTTCCTCTTGGCATTGAAGAGTTAGTAACACATTTGCCTTGCCAATACACTTGTCCAGGTCAGCATCGATGAAGAGGTTGTTGGTTATGGTAGAACCTCCTAGGGAGACAAAATCATCCACCACCTCCAGTGTCTGAATCTCCCATAGGTGCATTTTGCAACAGGGAATTTCATAGACACGAGCAGTTTCTGAGCTCTGCGCGCAGTACTGCACCTAAGATTTCAGATTAAAACTGCGGAGTGGAAGGAAAGGAGGACCTTTTTCTGGCTCCCCACTTCCAGCTACTCTCTGAAGGCTGAAGGAGAGACCTGTCAAGGTGGTGTCTGCTCTTCGCAGTAAACACCCTCTGCTCACTCAGAGAGATATTTACAGTTCTTTATTTACATATGTACGAACAGCTACAGTTCAAAATCATGCATCTGAATCCGACGAGTCAGATTCGGGGAGTGGCTTCCTTCGGCTCCTTCTCCAACACAGCAGATGTGGGAATCTCGCAAGACGTCTTTGATTCTCTCCTCGCCTGTGCCAAAGGCACCGCTTCCCCTTCTGTTCCTGAACTCCCTGGTTGGTGGCAGGGCTCTCCAGTACTGCAGAGCCCTGACACCACTTGACTGCTCTCCGCCTTCTCCTCCCCTACTTCGTCCATCATTTCCCTGTTTTCCCCGTCTGACTGTCCCTGCTCTGATCCTCCCCCTTCCCTTGACCCAAGGGCTCTCTGTCCCGTGACATCACCCCCCACTAAGCCCCCCCATCTGTCTCGCTTTCGCTGTCTTCTGAGGATCTGAAACCTACAAGTGGTGATATACCTGTGGGTGCGTGCATTGTGTTATTGTATGCGAACTCTGCCAGGCTCAATTTCCTCAAAACTTCTCTCTCTGTTCTCCCCTTGCCTGTCTGTCCCGTGACAAGACCTTCTTAAAAAATCGGGGGGGTGGGGGTGGGCAGGGGAAGGACTAGACCACGTGAAAAATGAATATATTATTTTAGCTGCTGTTCATTCCTTTTCAGCTTTGTATTCTTGTTATAAAAGAGTGCGCCTAGACATTCGTTGTTGCGCCCGTATCCTTGGTTTAAGGTGCCTTTAACTTAGATTTCTTTTCTCTGTTTCTAACACTGACTGCCTCTAGTGTGTGGTCACCAATGTTGATGCATGGAATGCTTCCTCTATCACAAGGGTTAGAGATCAATATTCAATACAGTAGCACTCCCATTTCTTCCTACAGTTCTAATCCATTTCTTTCTTCATTGCAGGTGGTGATTATTTGGAAATTGAGAACGAGGACGCCCATGACAGAATCCACACAGTGGAGAAGCCATTGCCACTCTTGGAGTGTGGCGAGAGCTTCAGTCACAGCTCCCATTCGACTACCCACCAAATAAATGCTATTGGGAAGAAACCCTCTCAGTTCTCTGAATGGGGAAAAAATTTCTGTTGGAATGAAAGCCTCACTTCACAGGAAATAATTCCCACAGGGGAGGACCCACTGAAATACTTGGAATGTGGAAAGAGCTTCAGTAAGAGTGCACATCTCATTTCGCATCAAATAATTCATACAGGCGAGAAACCCTATCAGTGCTTAGAATGTAGGAAAAGCTTTAATACAAGCAAAACCTTCCGTGAACATCAGAGAATTCACAGGGGGGAGAAGCCATTTCAATGCCGAGAGTGTGGAAAGAGCTTCAGTCAGAGCACCCATCTCACAGCCCATCAAATAATTCATACAGGTGAGAAACCCTATCAGTGCTTGGAATGTGGGCGGAGCTTCAATCACAGGACGACTCTCACGGTCCATCAAAGGATTCACAGTGGTGAGAAACCCTATCAGTGCTCAGAATGTGGGAAGAGTTTCACTGTGAGCTCCCATCTCACTTCCCACCAAAGAATTCATACTGGGGAGAAACCATATAAATGTGTGAATTGTGGAAAGGGCTTCACCCAAAAGGCAAGTCTCACTTCCCACCAAAGAATTCACAGTGGTGAGAAACCCTATCAGTGCTCGGGATGTGGAAAGAGATTCTCCCAGAGAGCCAATCTCAGTTCCCACCAAAGAATTCACACAGGGGAAAAACCATATCAGTGCTTCGAATGTGGAAAGAACTTCAGTCTCAGGGCCCATCTCACTACCCATCAAAGCATTCATACCAGGAAGAATCCCTATCGATGCTTGGATTGTGGAAAGAGTTTCCTACAGAGAGCCGATCTCACTTCCCACCAAAGAATTCACACAGGAGAGAAACCCTATCAGTGCTTGGAATGTGGGAAGAGCTTTACTGTGAGCGCTGGTCTTACTTCCCACCAAAAAATTCATATTGGGGAGAAACCCTATCAATGTGTGAATTGTGGAAAGAGCTTCACCCAGAAGCAAAGTCTCACTTCCCACCAAAGAATTCACAGTGGTGAGAAACCATATCAGTGCTTAGAATGTGGAAAGAGTTTCTGCCAGAGAGCCAATCTCACTTCTCACCAAAGAATTCACACAGGTGAAAAACCCTATCAGTGCTTGGAATGTGGCAAGAGCTTCAGTCTGAAGAAAAGTCTCACTTCCCACCAAAGAATTCACAGTGGTGAGAAACCCTATCAGTGCTCGGAATGTGGAAAGAGTTTCTGCCAGAGAGTCAATCTCACTCATCACCAAAGAATTCACACAGGTGAAAAACCCTATCAGTGCTTGGAATGTGGGAAGAATTTCCGCCAGAAAGTCAACCTCACTTCCCATCAAAGAATTCACACAGGGGAGAAGCCCTATCAGTGCTTGGAATGTGGGAAGAGTTTCCGCCAGAAAGTCAACCTCACTTCCCACCAAAGAATTCACACAGGGGAGAAACCCTGTAAGTGCTTGGAATGTGGAAAGAGCTTCAGTCATAAGCAAAGTCTCCCTTCCCATCAAAGAATTCACAGTGGTGAGAAACCTTATCAGTGCTTGGAATGTGGAAAGGGCTTTGGTAAGAGGACCAAGCTCATGGCCCATCAACGAACTCACAGTGGTGAGAAACCCTATCAATGCTTGGATTGTGGAAAGAGTTTCAGCCAAAGGGCCAGTCTAACTTGCCATGAAAGAATTCACACAGGGGAGAAACCATATCACTGCTTGGAATGTGGGAAGAGCTTCAACCAGAAGCAAAGTCTCACTTCCCACCAAAGAATTCACACAGGGGAGAAACCTTATCAGTGCTTGGAATGTGGAAAGAGCTTTGGTAAGAGGACCAACCTCATGGCCCATCAAAGAATCCACACTGGGGAGAAACCCTATCAATGTGTGAAATGTGGAAAGAGTTTCTGCCAGAAAGCCCATCTCACTTCCCACCAAAGAATCCACACAGGGGAGAAACCCTATCAGTGCTTGGAATGTGGGAAGAGCTTCAGTAAGAGGACCAACCTCATGGCCCATCAAAGAATCCACACTGGGGAGAAACCCTATCAGTGCTTGGAATGTGGGAAGAGCTTCAGTAAGAGGACTAACCTCATGGCCCATCAAAGAGTTCATACAGGGGAGAATCATAGAATTTTAGACCTGCAGGAGACTTCTGGGTCGTCTAGTCCACTGCAGGACTCTCAGCTAAAGCTTCCATGACACATTGCCTTCAAACTTCTCCTTACAAACCTCCAAGGAAGAGGAGTCCACAACCTTTCAAGGGCGTCTATAATTTGAAGCCATTGGTTTGGGTCGCAGCCTCCAGAGCCGGTGAAAACAAGCTTGTTCAATCTTCCATGTGACAGCCCTTCCTGTTCCTCAGAAGGCTTGGTTTCCCAACGCTTAATTGTCTTGCTCACCCCCCTCTGCACACCTTCCAGCTTGTCAAAATCCTTCTTAAATTGGGGCACCCAGAACTGGACACAGGACTCCAGGTGTGGTCTGAACAATGCAGAAGAAAGTGGGGCTGTTACTTCTCTTGATCTGGACACTTGACTTCTTTGGACGCTGCCTAGAATAACAGCCTATTTCGCTGATGTTGACTCATGTTAGTCTTGTGGTCCACTAAGACTCCAGGTCTTTCCCACATGTACTACTGGCAAGCCCGGTATCCCCCATCTTATATTTGTGCAGTTGATTCTTCTTGCCTAAGAACAGAATCTTACCTTTCTTCTTAGTGAAATTTATTGGATGCCTTTATATACCACCTGTTTCTTCAAGAAGCTCAGTGTGGTCTTAAGTCGTTCTCTCCCTCATCGTTTAATCCTGACAACAACCCTGTGAGGTAGGTTGGGCTGTGAAGCCATCATCCAGTGAGCGTCATGGATGAGTGGAGATTTGAACCAAGGTCTCCCAGTTCCTAGTCCAAAACTCTTAAGCACTGCACCCCACTGGCTCTCGAATGAGACTCTTGGAAAGTGCATGCATGCACATTTACCGAAAGTTTCAGTGCAATGTCTTGGTGTTTGTATTTAAAGTTTTATACGCATGTATCAATGACATTAATATAACAATGGTAATTACAGTAGAAGAGTAAATTTTAGGAAATGCTAGATGGTGATAGGGGTAGTTTGGAATGCTGGGATTGAGCAATTGAACTGAACAATTTCCACATAAATCACAAGATCTAAAATATAAAAACAAAACACCAACACCAACACCAACAACCCCTCCCCCAAAACCCCCAAATTCAAGAGTCTGTTCAGCAGCCTCAGCTTTTGCAGCTGGAGTCAATCCAGGCTCTGCCCTCCCAGGCTAGGTGGAAAAGGTCTCTAAGGAGAGAGCCCATCTTCTGGGACTTGCAGCCAAGATGGTTGGCTGCAACCATTGGAGGGTGGAATGGAATGGGACAGTGGTGGCAATTGTGGAGCAGGGTTGGTTAGACCTGTAGTAGAGAGACAGCATTATAATCCCCGTTGTTGCAGCTGTAGCAAAGTTTTAATGAATCGATGCACACTTCCTCCTCTGTTATGTTTGGGGTGAAGTGTTGAAGAGTTCTCTGTGGTGGCAACAGGAATAAAGGGGAGTTTGGTGGAAGATCCATCTCCTAGCCGTGCACCTTGAATGAAACGGGAAGGTGGCCCAGGGATGGGTGGGCAGGGCCAGAGCGCCTCTGAGCAAAGGCGGTGGGGGCTCAACATGGGGAGATAAACTAGAGGACACTCAGAGCATTCAAAGTGCTTCATAAAAACCAACTCTGCTGTCTTTACAACATCCCTATGAGGTGGAACTGTAGCCTTTCCCCATTAATGTGGGAAGTCGAAGAGAGGAGGAGGAGAGCAGAGAGGGGCGTGAAGCAGAGACTCTGTCCCTCTGCCCTCTTGCAAGTTGCACACACACAATGCGCTCTGATTTGCGCTGCTCATTCACATCTGTTTTACGCCCCCAGGCATTTATTGGAACGGTCTAGGTGCTGATTTTTAAAGTACTTGATGTTGTTGTTTAGTCGTATCCAACTCTTCGTGACCCCCTGGACCAGAGCACGCCAGGCACTCCTGTCTTCCACTGCCTCCCGCAGTTTGGTCAGACTCATGCTGGTAGCTTCGAGAACACTGTCCAACCATCTCGTCCTCTGTCGTCCCCTTCTCCTTGCGCCCTCCATCTTTCCCAACATCAGGGTCTTTTCCAGGGAGTCTTCTCTTCTCATGAGGTGGCCAAAGTCTTGGAGCCTCAGCTTCAGGATCTGTCCTTCCAGTGAGCACTCAGGGCTGATTTCCTTCAGAATTGATACGTTTGATCTTCTTGCAGTCCATGGGACTCTCAAGAGTCTCCTCCAGCCCCAGAATTCAAAAGCATCCATTCTTTGGCGATCAGCCTTCTTTATGGTCCAGCTCTCACTTCCATACATCACTACTGGGAAAACCATGGCTTTAACTATACAAGCCTTTGTTGGCAAGGTGATGTCTCTGCTTTTTAAGATGAAGAGTTTGGATTTGATACCCCGCCTTTCACTCCCCTTCAGGAGTCTCAAAGCGGCTAACATTCTCCTTTCCCTTCCTCCCCCACAACAAACACTCTGTGAGGTGAGTGGGGCTGAGAGACTTCAGAGAAGTGTGACTGGCCCAAGGTCACCCAGCAGCTGCAGGTGGAGGAGCAGGGAATCGAACCCGGTTCACCAGATTACGAGTCCACTGCTCTTAACCACTACACCACACTGGTAGTTTGTCAAGTATTTGATAGTGGTTGCTTTTTTTATAGTTGACGGGATTTAAGAGGGGGCTTTGAGCTATGTGTGCTGCCCTCATACTGGAGCAAAGGGAAGTTGCCCTGCAGAAGGGGCAGGCCGTCCTCTCCCGGCGGACAGAGAGAAGTCCAAAGTTTGGAGCAATGAATAACCTGGTTCAATACACTCTTTCGGATCCCTGGGAGTCCCTTTCACTGAGACACTTTTCTGGAAGGGGCACCTGGAGGCTTCAAAAATTAAAGTGCAGGAAGCTTGTGGGGCACTAATGAAATTCTGCCTCACGGTGGGTGGACACTTATTAGCACCTGTGCTGAAAATTGGAAGCTGAGCTGAGGGAAGTCTTTGGGGGAGGGGAGGGTGGGTTTCAGGGTGTGTGGGGAAAGGTGGTAAATAATGAATATGATATTTTTGGATATGTTGTTGAATTGCTAATAAAAATATTTTTAAAAAAAATAAAAGTTTATAAAATAGTTTACTCACATTCTGTTCACAGAAGGATCCCAGAAGGCAGACTTAGGTTACAAAATATATACACCTGGAATCTATCCCATAAGGAGAGAGTTCCTTTGTCCTCTCTTCGTTGGAAGCATCTCAGGCTAAGGAGATGTTGCTTCTTCAAGGAATGGAGTCAGAGAGAGAGAGAGAGATGGCTGCCTGCCCTGTGCTATGTTGTTACCTGCACAGGTGAGGTCACACCCACCTCTGGTCACATGTAGAGGAAGTTTGTCCCAGCCCAGGAGGAAACAGGATGTTCTGAGTGGCTGGTCCAGACATCCCCTTTTATGTCCACTCTAGGAATGTTGTATTTGACTGCTCTGTGTTTCACACCCCACAGTTCAAAGAAAGAGCGATTGCAAGGAGCTCCAAAAAGAGATCTCCAAACGGGGTGGATGGGCAGTAATGACAGTTCATTGTCAATGAGATCAAAGTGATGCATGTTGGGACAACCCCCCCCTTCATATGTACAGGCTCATGGGGTCTGAACTGGATTTCCCTGTGTGCTCTAGGAGACCAGGGGAGAGGGGAGCTGGTCGCAGCAGGAGGGGGAGTCTCCCTGGATGCTTCAGCAGCCGGCCTCCTCTGGGTCTCCTGGCCCCCTCCTCTCCTCCCTCTGAGTCTGACCTGCCAGGTACTTCTCCCTTTCTTAAAATGCTGTTCAGTACTTCTTTCAAGGGTGCAATCAGGGTTTGATTTAGTTTTTTTATCATATTTTGCCGGAAATCCATCCGGTCCTGGGGCCTCCACAGTTTTTGATTCTTTTATTACTTGTTGGATTTCGTCTTCTTCTATTGGCTCTGCCTCTTGGCCCTTTCACTTTGCACCAACCAATACTCAGCTTTACTTAAGAATACTTTAGCATTTATGTAGCACATTTAAAGCATTACAAAATATAACATATGTTATCTCAGTAATCTAAACAACGGCCCTGCAAGGCTGTCCAGTGTTATAATCCCCATGCATATGAAGAGTTGAGGTTGCAGGAAGAGGAGTTTGACTCACATCTCACACTTTGACTGCTACACTACATCAGTCCTTGCACTCCAGATCCTGAAAACAGCTCTGTGAGTTGTCAGAGGACTGCCCAGCATCCTATTGAAAACAAGGCAGCATGGGCAGCTCAGGAGGAACTAGCAAGTCTTCTCCTGAGTGACACAAGCATTCCCCAGCATGTGCATTGTAGGAATGTTGTATATGACTGCAATACAAATTTACACCCCACACCTTCACTACCCAATAATCATTTGCAAGCGTACTTCTTCCAAGGCTCAGTATTTAAGATTCTGAGCTTGAAAAACAAAACCCCTGAGATTGAGGCATCACCAGAGAAGCTTCCTCATGTGCATCTCACACAACATTCTCATCTCCAGTTGGGATCACCTGAGACCTCAGAAAGAAATCATTGTTTTTTGGGGGGGAGTGGCGTGGAACCATGCCTGAGTCAAAAGATTACAGAGCAAAGACAGTGCCCTATTCACGTTTCATATGAAGTTGGTTTGTTCCCATGAATTGTACCAGCGAGCTTCTTCACAGAATTTCATATCCCCTTATAAAGTCATGTCCAGCAATACCTTCATGCCCAAGCAGTCTCCTGTCTCAGATGCAAGCAATCCCCTTGGCCAGCTACCACTGGACATCCTGCACCTTGCTTTCTTTTGCAAACCTCCCAGCCTCAGCAGTTCAAATTCCAGCCTACACATGCACTTATGTGCACACACTTGTCGGGAACATGTTCTCTTTTATCCAGACCAGATAACTGTCAGCATTTAAAGATGTAGTAGAAAGACGATAGAGAACAGGATGGAAGATGTTTAAGGGTCAATCCTAGGTACACTTGGAGTGCCATCTTCCCCCCGTCTGCTCAGTCCCGTGCAGAATATACCCAGGGAAGTGGAGTCAGGACTGCAACATTATTTATGCGTTGGCATTCGGCTGCAGAACTGCAGAGTTTACTAAGCACACTTGCGGGGGGAAACTCTACACTAGCGTCCATCTGGCATACTTCTGGGCAAACATATGCAGGGTTTTATTGCAGGGTCTTCAGTAGATTAGCCCTAAACTGAGAATTTTGGTTTCCTCCTTGGCGTATTGAGCTCCAAATTGCTGCTTGACTTCTCATGAAGCAAAGCTGCCACAAAGCACACTTGCCTCAAGGAAGACGGAGTTCATGCCCACCTAACAATATGCTTGCCCTGATGAAGCTAGAAGGTGCTGGTCACCCCCCCCCCCAAATATTTATTGGTTTTCTCTTGTAATTTTTTTGTTGTTTAGTCGTTTAGTCCTGTCCGGCTCTTCGTGGCTCCATGGACCAGAGCACGCCAGGCTCTTAGAATACATAAACATAAACACAGAAAAGAACATTACATTTAACACAACATATAAACTTAACAACAATAAAAATGCAAAAGATAAAAGAATATTTTCCCCCTTCTTATTCCCTTGTATATTTACATTACTAGAAGACTTCCTTGACACCTTCCAATCTGAATTTCATCATAACACATATTTAGCAGTTCCCAATTTCATATCTGAAACATCAATATCCTCTTTCATTACAAACTTCTTATCCCTACTTCCAATTGTAATCCATAATAATCATTATTATTGGTCCTGCTTCTCCTTGTGCTTTCCATATTTTCCACATTTTGTTTCCATTTTTCCACATCTTGATATTCGTTGTTGAGTCGTTTAGTCGTGTCCGCCTCTTTGTGACCCCCTGGACCAGAGCACGCCAGGCACCACTGTCTTCCACTGTCTTCCACTGCCTCCCGCAGTTTGGTCAAACTCATGTTAGTGGCTTCAAGAACACTGTCCCACCATCTCGTCCTCTCTCGTCCCCTTCTCCTTGTGCCCTCCCTCTTTCCCAACATCAGGGTCTTTTCTAGGGAGTCTTCTCTTCTCATGAGGTGGCCAAAGTCTTGGAGCCTCAGCTTCAGGATCTGTCCTTCCAGTGAACACTCAAGATTTTTTTGGAAAATTAATAAAAATGATTAAAAATGAAATAAAATCCACACCCCAGGATATTTCCCCTATCACCTCTTTTCCACCTGAGCCTCAGCCCCATACCTAAAACCCAGACATCCTGCAGTGTGCCAGGATTGTGACTCTTGCCCTCAGGAAACAAAATAGCTCCCCCGCGATGCTTAGGTGCCCTGAGGGCTGTGCAGGACCCCCAATCCTTGAAATGAAAAAGGGAGGGGCTCAGGAAACCTGAAGGGAGCAGGCAGGGAGGGGGCTGCACAGGATCCAGAAGCTCCTTCTCGCTGATTCCCCCCCCCTGAAGTTCCTTTAAGAGCCCCACATTGCAGGGGGCAGGCTCACTTGCAGCGAAACAAAATGCAGCTGCCCTGGCCGAGTGGAGCCAGGCTGGGGGGCACCGTGGGGACCCTGGAAAGGTGCCCCTAGAAGAAATGTGCCCCCTCTGTTGGAGGCAGCCCTCCTTCTGAAACACCAAGAGAGTAAACGGACAGTTCTCTGAATGGAGAGGAGCAGAAAGCAGAGTCCCCTCAAGATCAGTATTGGGACCTGTGGCTTTTCAACTTATTCATAAATGATCTAGAGTTAGGCGGGAGCAAAGTTGCTGATGGCAGCAAATTGTCCAGGGTTGTTCAAAGAAAGAGAGATTGCAAGGAGCTCCAAAAAGGTCTCTCCAAAAGGGGTGAATGGGCAGAAAATACAGTTCATTATCAATGACATTAAAGTGGTGTATGTTGGGACAAAAAAATACCTCTTAATACAATGTACAGGCTCATGGGGTCTGAACTGGATTTCTCTGTGAGCTCTAGGAGACCAGGGGAGAGGGGAGCTGGTCACAGCAGGAGGGGGAGTCTCCCTGGATGCTTCAGCAGCCGGGCTCCTCTGGGTCTCCTGGCCCCCTCCTCTCCTCCCTCTGAGCCTGAACTGCTCTCTGCCCCAGACTCTTCCTGATCACCAAACCCTGTTTCCTCCTCAGCTTGCAACACCTCCCCTCCCCTTCTGCTCCCTTTTCTCCCTCTTTCTGCTCATTGCCATCCCACCACCAGTTCCTGGACTCTGAGCCTTCTTCCCTTGTGGGCCCCCCAGCTGGTGCCTCCCCCAACCAGCCAGTCCATGACAACAACAGCAGCCACAGCACTGTGGTCCTCTGGTAGGAAAACTCCCGAGTAGCATGATTGAAGCAAAACTTCTGGGACTATGGAAAAATACTCTCTTTCCCAAACCCTAGAATAAGCAGGAGCTCTGGGGTTGCCCCATGGGGTTCATGAGTGAAGATGGGCCCCCCAGGAGACTTCCCTGGTACCTGCAGCCCCTCCTTCCCCCTCTTGAAATTAGGCTTGGGGGGAAATCTCCCATTCAATTTCAGTATTTCAAGTTTTCTTCAGAACGCGCAGGGCAGGAGGCAGCGATGAAGTTCTGGTGAAGAAGCAGTGCTGGGAGATCATGCGGTGGGGGAGGTGACAGAGTTTAGTGCAAAAACCAAAAGTACTTTCATCTAAAATTATACTCACTATTGTGAGATGCTGCCTTCATTATTTCATTATTATACAGTTTTACAAATAAACACCAGAACTTCACATATCCCTGATGCTTTTAGGAATGATCTCCTGCTGAGTTCATTGCTCAGAGTGGACTCTGAGAGGAAGACATCCCACACTCCATACATCTAAGTGGGTTCTCCCATGTGAGAGTCCCTAGCTGTTCCTTAAATAAAGGTAAAGGTAAAGGGACCCCTGACCATTAGGTCCAGTCTTGACCGACTCTGGGATTGTGGCGCTCATCTCGCTTTACTGGCTGAGGGAGCCGGCGCACAGCTTCCGGGTCATGTGGCCAGCATGACTAAGCCGCTTCTGGCAAACCAGAGCAGCGCACGGAAACACCATTTAACTTCCCACCGGAGCGGTACCTATTTATCTGCTTGCACTTTGACATGCTTTTGAACTGCTAGGTTGGCAGGAGCTGGGACTGAGCAACAGGAGCTCACCCCGTCGTGGGGATTCGAACTGCCGACCTTCTGATCGGCAAGTCCTAGGCTCTGTGGTTTAACCCACAGCGCCATCCGCGTCCCTGTTCCTTAAATACTCCATTATAAATAAAGCACTTTCTGTAGTCTTTTCATTCAAACTGCTTCTCCTTAGTTTGTTGATGGTTTGAAGGGTTTCAACTCTTAAAGTTCTTCCTGTCCATAAGTCTGTTGATTCTGAACTTCCACTAAGAGTGAACCTCTATCTACTTTCCTGATATTTATATGGTTTGTCTTTTGTATGAGTTTGTTGACAAAAACCAAGGATTCCACTCTGACTGAAGCTCCTTCCACAGTCCACACCTTTAAATGGTTTCTCTCGTGTGTGTCCGCTGATGTTTTCTAAGATTTCCACTCTGACTGAAGCTCTTTCCACACTCCATACATGTAAATGGTTTCTCTTCTGTGTGAGTCCGTTGATGTGTCCTAAGGCTTGCAGTATCACTAAAGCTTTTTCCACACTCGATACATTTATATGGTTTCTCCCCCGTGTGTGTCCGCTGATGTTTTCTAAGATTTCCACTCTGACTGAAGCTCTTTCCACACTCCAAACATTTAAATGGTTTCTCTTCTGTGTGAGTCCGTTGATGTTGTCTAAGGTTTGCACTGAAACTGAAGCACTTCCCACACTCCACACATTTAAATGGTTTCTCCCCTGTGTGAGTCCGTTGATGTTTCCTAAGGTTTCCATTATCACTAAAGCTCTTTCCACACTCGATACATTTATATGGTTTCTCCCCTGTGTGAGTCCGTTGATGTTTCCTAAGGTTTCCACTTTTACTAAAGCTGTTTCCACACTCGATACATTTATATGGTTTCTCCCCTGTGTGTGTCCGTTGATGTATTTTAAGGTGTGCACTCTGACTGAAGCTTTTTCCACACTCCATACATTCATATGGTTTCTCCCCTGTGTGATTCCGTTGATGTGATCTAAGGCTTCCACTATCACTAAAGCTCTTTCCACACTCCATGCATTTAAATGGTTTCTCTTCTGTGTGAGTCCGTTGATGTTGTCTAAGGTTTGCACTGAAACTGAAGCACTTCCCACACTCCACACATTTAAATGGTTTCTCCCCTGTGTGAGTCCGTTGATGTTTCCTAAGGTTTCCACTATTACTAAAACTCTTTTCACACTCAATACATTTATATGGTTTCTCCCCTGTATGAGTCCGTTGATGTGATCTAAGGCTTGTATTACAACGGAAACTCTTTCCACACTCGATACATTTAAATGGTTTCTCCCCTGTGTGAGTCTGTTGATGTCTTCTATGGTGTCTACTCTGACTGAAGCTCTTTCCACACTCCAGACATGTAAATGGTTTCTCCCCTGTGTGAATCCGTTTGTGCAATTTAAGGTGTCCACTCTGACTGAAGTTCTTCCCATACTCCCTGCACTTAAAATGTTTTCTCTCTCTGTGAGTCCGCTGGTGTGTTCTAAGTTTTGCATTGAAAGAGAAGCTCTTTCCGCACTCCATACCTTTAAATGGGTTCTTTCCTTTTTGTGTTCGTTGATGTGAACTATGTGTGCTCATTCAGTGAAGCATATTCCACATTTCACACATTTTAATGGCTATTCCTAATGAAATGAAAGGTGCCCTGTCCTCTGCAATTCTGTCTTCTCCATCACCTTTTTCAGAGTGGGCAGAAAGGAAATCCTGTTTGGGTTTCAAGGAAGAGAACAAAGGGAAAAAAGGACACATCAACCGCCATTAGCACCTTCTCTTATTTCAACATCTCCTACATTCTCCCATGTCCTACCCATGTTCCCAGTTTTTAGGAAATAAAAATGGTATGATGTCAAATGGTAGTAATGAATCAACTGCATAGTCCCACTGACCTCAGGAGGTCCATATGGAACATTTTGGGAGACCCAGGTCTACATCTTTTCTGGGGACTGTGGTCTGGGTCAGTCAGAGAACTAGTGACAAGGCTTGGTGCTTGGGGTCAGCTGAATGGGTGCTCAGAGAAGCTCCTGTTCTTGGAGATGGACCTCTGTCTACATGCCTCACATTGCATGGAGAGAGCAGGAGAAGCAGAAGGAAAGCACATGGGAATCCCAGGTGGAAACACCCACCCCAATGGTTCTTTATAATGATGATGTGCTGCCTGATCCTGTGCTTGTCTTCTGACAGAGGACTATCCTAATCTGGCACTGAAAAGCAGGATATTCAAGGCAAGGAGATAACCGTACTTAATGGTAGGTAGACATATTGGTCTGACACAGCTGAAGTAAAAAAGTAATAAAAATAGTCCAGTAGCAACTTAGGGTCTTGGGAGAAAAGTAATGACAAACCTAGACAGCATCTTAAAATGCAGAGACATCACCTTGCCAACAAAGGTCCGTATAGTTAAAGCTATGGATTTCCCAGTAGTGATGTATGGAAGTGAGAGCTGGAGCATAAAGAAGGCTGATCACCGAAGAATTGATGCTTTTGAATTATGGTGCTGGAGGAGACTCTTGAGAGTCCCATGGACTGCAAGAAGATCAAACGTATCCATTCTGAAGGAAATCAGCCCTGAGTGCTCACTGGTAGGACAGATCCTGAAGCTGAGGCTCCAGTACTTTGGCCACCTCATGAAAAGAGAAGACTCCCTGGAAAAGACCCTGATGCTGGGAAAGATTGAAGGCACAAGGAGAAGGGGACGACAGAGGACAAGATGGTTGGACAGTGTTCTCGAAGCTACCAGCATGAAGGAGGCAGTGGAAGACAGGAGTGCCTGGCGTGCTGTGGTCCATGGGGTCACGAAGAGTCGATCGCGATTAAATGACTAAACAACAACAACAGCAGCACCTTAGGGACCAACTAATTTTGTTCTAGGTATAAGCTTTTGTGTGCATGCACACTTCTTCATATAGTGATGGGTAGTGGGAGATAGTAGTAGGAGTACCCTTCTGAGAAAAACCCCACTCCACCCTCCCACGATATACAAGGGTCTGGTGACATCTGTGTCAGTGTATCTGAAGAAGTGTGCATGCACACAAAAGCTTATATCTAGAACAATCATAGTTGGTCTCTAAGGTCCTACTGGACTATTTTTTAATTTTTTATTTCAACTGCGTCAGACCAATACGGCTACCTACCGGCATCTAAATGTCATGGGGTGGGACTTCCGGGGTGGCGCCATCGGCAATGGCGGACTCCCTCCGAACTGGAGGGACCAGCTCCGCATGAAACAGGTCTTTTCCGCTGCGGCGAAGCGGGGACCCTTCTGGAAATCACAGGCGGATGAAGTCTGTGACCGTGGGACTCGGCGGGCACCCTTAGTGCCCCCCCAACCCGCAAAGGAACCCACAAACGGGCTCCGAAGCGAAGAGGGGGAAGTGGCGCGGTGCTGTGAGTCAATCGCTTTCCTGCGGAGCGAAGCCGCATAGCCGTTGCCGGAGAGCGCTGCCTTTTTCCTGGGACAATTTGGCATCTAAAATAACCAACCGTGAGTACTGGAACATTGAATATCTGGACTTTAAATAAGAACTGGAGAAAGAGAAAGGAATTTGGACTTAAAAATTTACCCTAATTTGGTACTGAAACGGAGAGGTTTAAACAGGAAGTCAGCGTTCCGTTTCCCTGTAGCCAGAACAAAGCAAAGACAACGCAAACTAGAGCTTTAAAAATCACTCTTAAAGGATTGACTTTCATCATTTAAAATCGCTGAATCCCCCTTCGGTAGCAGGAGAAGAAGGGGGAGCTTTTTTCGAGGTGTTTAAACCTGCAGAAGTGAATCTAAAGCAAAGTAATTTTCCACCGTCCTGATCCTGGAGCGGGGTGTCAGAATTGACGTTTGACGCTCACTGACCAGAAACAAATATCTTTGACAGATAGTTAAAAGAAGAGAAACATAGTGACTCCATTGCTCCCTTTTCGCATCTTAAAAGAACAAATATGAACAAAATATATTAAAAAAGAAACTTTGTTGCTATTGTTTTTAAGAGAAAGAACAATCAGAAGTTTTTCCCCCTAGAGGGGAACTGTGAAATTGTAACTAATCCCTGGGAGCTTGCAGCTGTCACTGATTACAACCGTGGGAAAGGGTTCGTGACCTTGCAGGACAATGTCTTCAGAAGCACTGTTGGGTGCTTTCTGCAAAATAAATGCCCTATTGGATCAGTTAAGCCAGAAGACGGATCTGATGACTAAGGCGGCCAGAACCTTTGAACAGGTAGTGGGAAACTATATGGAGCCCACCCAGGAACTAAAACAGGAGCGTGCCATGACAGACCAGCTGAGAGATGAGGATTCTGCTGAATCTTGGGCGCCAGAGAAGGAAGGAGCTGCGGCCCAGCAGGAATATAAATTTTTGGATTTGACACATGAACTTGGAAAAGACCAGACTTGGAAAGAAAAAATTTGGTTTGGTTTGGAAATGGGGGGGGGTGGATAGACCCCCCTATACAGGGAGATTTGGACTTTTCGAGTCTGGAAAGGGGCCGTCAGATGTCTGGAGCAGTGGGGGCTCTCAACTTTGAAGGAAATCTGGAACATGTTTTTAAATACTACATCGAGTCTAGTCTGGACTATGGAAAAGGGACTGTTTTGTTGAAAAGGGTCAAAAACATTACCAAGCTGGAGTTCCCACGAATAAAAGGAAATTATGAAGAAGAGCGGTGGAAGGGACATGGAAGAGACTTGAGGGCCTCGGATATAAGATTGCCAGGTTAATGTGCTAGATTAATAGGACGAAAAGGACTGACAAAACCCGGGACCAGGAGGAAGGGACGCTGGACGAAGATCGGATTGCTTAAGTTTCTATTTCTATCATTAGGACTGTTTTACAAAATTGATGAATGTTAGGAAAATGTTGAAATGAAATTATTTGGCTTTTATAAAAATGTTTAAAGAATTAGGTAAGAATGTTATGGTTAGGAGAAGTTGGTAAAAATTAAGATTTAAGTTTTAAACTTTTTTTATATATAAGATAAGATGAAAATAAACTAAGGTAATGTAAGGACAGAATATTATGAATTATGGAAAGGATTTGCTGTGACTATTATAAATCAGGATACAGGAAAAGGGAGGAGGAGGAGGTCAAGGAAAGAAGGTATTGAAAGTGGAGAACTGGAGAATGATGGTTTTACTTTTCTTTTTCTTTTTTTTTGGTCTTGTTTCTTTTTTTGTGTAATTTTAAAAAATTTCTCAATACATATCATTTAAAAAATAATAATAAATGTCATGGGGTGTTGGGGAGCAGTAGTTCCTTTGGTGGGAGACATGTCCTGCACCTTCTGGGGTCATTTTTCCACCCTGGGTCCCCACCCTGCACTCAGCTCTCACCTGTGGCTTCCAGAAGCTGTCAGCATGCAACAGGGGTTCAAGCAACGGCTTCAACCGGCCGGCTAAACCAGGTGAGGAAAGCTGATGGGTCTCAAATCCTTGGGGGGCTGGGGAATTCTGCTGCACCTGAAGTCAAGCCCTGGTGGATGGAGAGGAGGAGAACAACCGTGAATCCCACAGTCCAGAAGGCAGATTCTGCTCGTGCGGAAGAGGAAAGTGAAGGGCAGATGGGGCACGTCCACCTGGAGGCTTGTTATCTAGTCCCAGGGTTACTCTGACATTGAATTATATATAAATTACAGTGTTGAAATGCGCCTGCTCCCACTTCCTATTATGATATTACTCTACTCTGTTTGTCTGTTTCTTACTTGAGTGCTGTTTTGGTATGCTAAGTCAGGGTTTTAGTGTGTTACATTTTTGCTATTTTTTGGCTCCTGTTATGCTTATCTGTCTTCAGTAATAAATTTCTCAGCTGAATTATTTTTGGCTGCCTCTGAGTGTTTTTTCCTACTCTGCTAACTATACATCGATCATTATGGAGGAGCCAGTGGCGTAGCGTGGGGGGTACAGGGGGGGCCAGCCGCAACATCTGGGGGGGCGCGCTCGCACTTGCAGTGCGAAAATCCACGGGTTAGGGGGCGCAAATTACTTGCCTTGCCCCGGGTGCTGACAACCCACGCTACGCCACTGGGAGGAGCAAGATCTGCAACCTAAAGCCCTCAACAGCCTTGGCCCTGTGGACCTGAAGGAGCATCTTCACCCCCATCGCTCAGTCCGGACAGGGAGGTCCGCCTCCGAGGGTCTTCTGCTGGTTCCCTTGCTGTTAGAAGTGAAGTTCCAGGGAACCAGGCAGAGGGCCTCCTGCCCCATGGAATGCCCTCCCTTCCGAGGGCAAGGAGGTAGGCAACTATCTGACATTTAGAAGACAGCTGTATCAGGAGGTTTTTAATGTTGGATGTTTTACTGTCTTGTATATGTACTGTATGGATGCGGGTGCCGTTTTGGGTTAAACCACAGAGCCTACAACCTGCCAATTATAAGGTCGGCAGTTCGAATCCCCACGACGGGGTGAGCTCCCGTTGCTCAGTCCCTGCTCCTTCCAACCTAGCAGTTTGAAATCACGTCAAAGTGCAAGTAGATAAATAGGTCCCGCTCCGGTGGGAAGGTAAACGGCATTTCTGTGCGCTGCTCTGGTTCGCCAGAAGCGGCTTAGTCATGCTGGCCACATGACCTGGAAGTTGTACGCCGGCTCCCTCGGCCAGTAAAGCGAGATGAGTGCCGCAACCCCAGAGTCGGCCACGACTGGACCTAATGGTCAGGGGTCCCTTTACCTATATGTACTGTAAGCTGCCCAGAGCGGCTGGGGGAAAATACTAATACTAGAACTTCTACAGTGGTACCTTGGGTTACAGGTGCTTCAGGTTATAGGCGCTTGAGGTTACAGACTCTGCTAACCCAGAAATAGTACCTTGGGTTAAGAACTTTGCATCAGGATGAGAACAGAAATCGTGCGGCGGCAGCAGGAGACCCCATTACCTAAAGTGGTACCACAGGTTAAGAACAGTTTCAGCTTAAGAATGGACCTCCAGAATGAATTCAGTTCTTATCCTGAGGTACCACTGTACTATTATTATTATCGTGTGATTTTTTGTAGTTATTTTGGAATTTTTACTGCAATATTAGCTAACGAAATGTTATGGGTGGAGAAAATCACAGGGTTGCCGTAAAAAAGAATCCTACCCACGAACGCTCATTCACATACAGTCTGTAAATTTGGGGATGTCACACACCTCACCTGTGCTAATACTGGCAGTCTTTGGCCTGCACAGGCACACCCGGTGTGTAGAGCCTCCAGCCACAGGCACTGTCTATCATGAAAATGGGTCCTTTGACTGGGAAGATTCATGCAGTCGCTGTCATCGGATGATGAAGGATTGTATCTCAGCTTGTCAGTCACTCTGACATTGCCTTCGAAGTTTAAGAGGATCAGAAATCCTTTTGAGGTGCAACTTCTATATCAGCCCTGAGAGCCATTCCATGGACTCTGCACCCCTGTTTCTGATGACAGGTGTACATTATCCTCATCCTCAGTGGAAAAGACAATAAAGATGGAAGCCTGAGAGAGAGGAAAAGGTTTCTGGCTGCTTCCTGGGTGGGATTGCGGAAACCAAGAGCCGCTTCTGAGAAGGCCTCCCCCCTCCCCTCTTCCTCTCGGGATTTCCTCTCCTCTCCTCTCCAGGGGACCAGTGGTTGGACTGGGCAGAAGGGCTGCGTCTGGACAGGGCAGGGGCTTATGGGGTGGAAGGAGGATGGAGGTTGCAGCAAGGAAGGGTGGGAGGACAGGACTCCCCACTTTCCAGTGATCCCTCTCTGGTCGCCTTGAAGGGGGGGGGGGTCGATTGCTGGGCGGGAGGGAGAAGCCAAGGCGGCCCCTCCGGAGATTCATCGTGGGCGTCATGATGGAGATGTCTCCCCAAAGACTGGTCTTCCTATCTCCCCACCCACCCGGCCAATGCTGCGCTTCCCTGCCTCGGCGATGCCCCCCTCCCTTCTCCCCCCAGTTCTCCCGGAGTCTCCCCTGCACCCAGAGGCTTCCTTGGCACCACTCACCCCACGTCCTGCGTCCCCATCTCTCCATCCGCATGCCCCCCCTAACAGGAGCAAGGGAGGGACAGGGGGGTCTCTATCCAGGCGTCTCTCGCGCCCCTTAAGCTTTTCATGGGACGCGCGGAGCCTGGGAAACGGGGCGAGGGGTCCGCCCTGCGAGGAAAGCCCCCTTCGCAGCACGCGTGCCGGGATCCAGGCCCCACGGAAGGCGCTTGGGGGAGCTGGAGGGGTCTCTGGGTCCTCGTCTCTTCCTCCCCCCCCCCCCGCGACCCCTTTACCTCTTTGTCCTCGCTCCCGATTCTCCTTTCCTTTCCTGCAGCATCGAAAGCCGCCCCCCCTAGACCTACGGGGCAGAGCAGCAATCCGGAGTGGAAGCTCCACGTCCTGGAGAAGAAGGCAGGATGGGAGGGGGCTCACACCCCCATTCCTGGGACAGAAGAGCCGGATTGGAGGAGGAGGAGGAAGGGGTGGGACGTTTGGGGGCGGGATCTGGGCTTGTGGGGGCGGGGTGAGAGGAGGAGGTGCCGGGAGGGGAGGGAAAGAATTGGGGGGAGAGGAAGGTTTCCCCCTACCGTCTTCCTTCTGGATCAGGAGAGCGGGGGAGGGGCTGATCCCGGAGATCCAGCTGCAAAGAGGGGTCCCCCCCCCCAAGGGCAACATCCTCCCCCCCCCCCACCCACGAGCTTAGATCCCTCCGTGTTTTAGGTCTTGGTGCTGTTCAAACCAGAAATGGAGGGGGGCAGCTAAACGACTCCCCCCAAATCCCAGCTCCCCACCCCAGCCTCTGACTCAGGCCAGGACAAGGACCGTGGACACAGGCACCGTCCCTGCACAACAGCCAAGAGGCTCAGCAAAGCAGCCGATACAATTGGAGCCAGAAGCGGATTCCAAAATCTGAGGGATCCCTTGGACCAGAAACAAGGAGACCAGCCAGGAAGAGCAGAGCAAAAGAGCAGCCAGTCGGCTTGGTCTTGATTGAAGACTGTCGCCACAGGACTCCCACCTGCCCCCAGGTGGAACAAGATGGAAGCCCCCAACAAAAGAAGACCCCAACTTTTATTAGCTGCTAATCCCCTGACCAAACTGCGGAGGCAGTGGAAGACAGGAGTGCCTGGCGTGCTCTGGTCCATGGAGTCACGAAAAGTCGGACACAACTAAACAACAACAACAAATCCCCCATGCTACACCCCCAAGACTACATCATGACTACATCATTGACACATCACAAAGAGGAGGGGTTGAGGGAGGAGTTGTGGTGGTAACCTGTGTGTCTTGTTGAGAGCCAGTGGGGTGTAGTGGTTAAGAGCGGTAGTCTCGTAATCTGGGGAACCGGGTTCGTGACTCCGCTCCTCCACATGCAGCTGCTGGGTGACCTTGGGCTAGTCACACTTCTCTGAAGTCTCTCAGCCCCACTCACCTCACAGAGTGTTTGTTGTGGGGGAGGAAGGGAAAGGAGAATGCTAGCCGCTTTGAGATTCCTTCGGGTAGTGATAAAGCGGGATATCAAATCCAAACTCTTCTTCTTCTTCTTCTTGTCACCTGCCCAGTTGCTCCTTTCCTCTCCCCATGATTACATTCCTGAGGACAAAGAGGAGTTCATGTGTTTCCTGCAACACATGAATCCCAATCCCAAAGAAGGGCAGTGCCCAAGAATGCTCCACCTATCATACAATTGCCCTCATTTCACACTCTAGCAAGGTTATGCTTAAAATACTACAAGGCAGGCTTAAGCAGTATGTGGACCGAGAACTCCCAGAAGTGTAAGCTGGATTTCGAAGGGGCAGAGGAACCAGAGACCAAATTGCAAACATGCGCTGGATTATGGAGAAAGCTAGAGAGTTCCAGAAAGACATCTACTTCTGCTTCATTGACTATGCAAAACCATTTGACTGGGTCAACCACAGCAAACGATGGCAAGTTCTTAAAGAAATGGGAGTGCCTGATCACCTCATCTGTCTCCTCATCTATGTGGGACAAGAAGCTACAGTTAGAACTGGATATGGAATAACTGATTGGTTCAAAATTGAGATAGGAGTGTGACAAGGCTTTAAATTGTCTCCCTGCTTATTTAACGTAGATGCAGAATTCATCATGCGAAAGGCTGGAATGGATGGATCCTGTAATAAAAAATTAAGGTTGATACGGAAGGGGGCATGTTTGTCAACCCCCTTCCCAGAAGCCTTCAGAGGGTTTGAGGCGATGACCTCAAGGGCGCCCGGCCCTACAAGGACCCCCCAGCCCCCTCACTCTTTTGCACTAAGCACCAGGCGAAGCCCAAGCCCCCAAATAAAGTGCCCTTTCCCTGCGCCCTTTCCCTTTCCCTGGGTAGACCGGAGGAGCGAGGAGCGTCTTTTATGAATGAACAGACTAGTTGCCTACGGGAGCGTCCTGACCAATCAGCCTGCACCCAACGCAGCCTCCAGCCAATCAAGACAATGCATTTGGTCTGCAGTGTCAGCTCTTGCAGGCCTCAGTCACCTTCTGACAAGCTGTTGACAGCTCCCTGCGGGGAGAACAATGGACTGACACCTCGTATCCTTGCTAAGCCCATCCAAATTGATACAATCTATCAATTCGCTTCCCAAATGAGCTGCCACTCTTTCAAAGGGCTAAAAAAGTATTAAAATTCATAGAAAATCACCCGCACCACCGATTCTCTTGCTTTCAATGCCAAACTGCTCAATTTACTCAGGACTTCAAGACTGCCCAGTACCTTCCATAATCCCTCAAGCGGGAGGTCACGGTCACGTACACCCAGGAAAGACCTCATTGATGCCAAATCACCCAGTCTAGCCCTTCCTCCAGGCTCGGCCGGGTCACAGACTATGCAAACTAAGACCCCATTGCTCTCTTATCACCGGTAATCAGAATGTGCCTTTCAATACATGTTCCAACTCTGCATGTTTCCCTCCCTCCTCCATATGTTAATCCTGTAGAACCCACCCCTTTTCTGATGTAATCGTGATGTAGCAATGATGTAGTGATGATGCTTTTGAACTGTATCTGGGGTAATGGTGGGAAGTTTTAAAAGTTCATGTCACCCCATCCTCGGGGTTCAATCTCGCCTTGAACCTGTTGCACAACAAACGTGGATCTTCTCCAACTTGCTGCAGTCTCTGGCTGCGCTCCTTTTGTTCTGCAGGGACCCGCGGACTCAGTCCCATGTGCGTATTCCAAATCCTGAATATGCACGAGTTGATCATCTGAGATACACAGAATTATGGCCGTCCTGGCTCTCACATTCTGTGAATTCCAATCTGGCGTTGGTGCAGCAGGGATGGGGTTATCAATCACCCCAAAAATCCTCTGATTCTGAAGCAGGGCTTTCATCTTTACAGACCATGAGGAATAATTGTCATTAGTCAGTGGAGGTGGGTAAAGTAAGCCTCCCCCCTTCCTGGCATCCATTTTGAATCCAAGCCTCAGCTCTCACTCTCGAGCCTGTAAAATTCCAAGAGTCTATTGGCTGTTTACTGCCTCACTTGGCAGCTAAACGCAGGCTGTTTTGAAAGTCCCTCCAAGAGCAGTGAGATAATAGACAAAACAAACGCTGTTTACCAGCCCCTCACAATCCCAGCCCCTCTTCCGTTGTTTGCTAGTAACTTTCCACTTTACTGACGTTTCGTTCCTTAGCAACTGGACATTCCAGGCTTATCAAGACTCAGGTATGCGAAATATGTGGCTCTCTTTCAGTGCTGGTTTCATCCAAAAGCAGACACTCAGTGAACCGAAGAATGCTTCAATTCACGTTCACTCTCCCAGCCATAAAATCACCATACCTTGAGGGAATCCGTTGCTCAGCAAAAACACCTCCTCCGGTGCTCAGCCGTCCTTGTAGCTTCCATCCGCCCGCTACCACATTCTTTCTTTATCTCCTTGCAGAGGATGAAGTACGATCCATCAACCTCTCTTGTTGCTTTCATGGATCAAAACCATCGGCTCCGTGCTACCAGATGTTGGGAATCAAGCCTTTATCAGGAGAAACTGGCCACTCTCCAGGCACCCGGCTTGATCTCCTGTTGACCTCCCTGTCTGCATTCCCCAGCAGGATCCAGGCAGAGGTCGCGATAGGCGATCCTTCTCAGAGTGAGAAGAACACCCCCCCTCTTTCCTGCCCCCCCCCCAGGCAGGGGAAAGAGATAGACAGAAACGTATTTACATTCCTTTATTTCTGTCTTTGCAGCGTTACAAAAATCATGACTGCTCTCTTCAAGCTCCAGCAGTCGAGAGACAAACTCCTCCTGTACTTCCTGTCCAGCTCATATTACACTCTCAGCTAATTCCGGTGCCCTCTGCACTGTGAATTGACTGTCCCTCTGTTTCCCACGGAACAGTCCCAACATTCCCATTATGTTTTGCTTTCAAGCTACCAGCTCGCGGCCGCATTGCTTCTATATCGTAACAGTTTGTAGTAGGTGGTCTTGGATACGCCCCTTCTGTGATGTATGGAGGGGTGGTCTGGAGCTCCAGGTCAGGGAATTTAAAATGTCTATATAAGGGCTGGCACGCCTTGGTTGGGGGTCCTCCTCAGGGGAGCACCCTGTTGCAGCAGATCAATAAAGATCAGGCTTACTAGCTGCTTTGCTTCTCAGTAGTCTCTGGTTGGCCTCAGTTGTTTTCTCCTACCGATGGAGAACCTACAAGGGACTCTATAAAGGGCTCTTGTGTCCCCCATAAGGGAAGAAGGGCAGCTTTTGTTTACAACAGATGGCACCCCAGATGGAACCTTCGGTTGGCCGGATTCTGGGGGCAAGGAAGGACTGGTGGTCCAGTGCACACCAGGCCATTTGCCAGGAGGAGCCACCAGTCCTCTAGTGACCCCAGGGTCTGGAAAGAACTGGAGTTCCAGCGGGGCTAACCAGAGGAAGCAACGCTTGATCAGGCCGGCCTCAAATTGATTTATTTTTTAAAATAATCTTTTTTGATTTAAATTACACACATATACAAAGAATTTGGAATCTCATACTGCAAAAAGAAAATTAAAGAAAAACGAAGAAGAAAAAGGAAAGAAGAAAATACAGAAAAGAAAGAAAAAGCAGATTTATGTGCATGATTAATTAAATAAAAAAGACTTCTGACAAAACGAGTCTTCCAATCATTCTCATTGTGCTGTTTATACTGCCGTTGTTTCTTTCGCACAGTTTTATATTCTTTAATGTTGTTCCCGTCTACTCCACAAACAGTATTTGTTGTGTTTACAAGTATCACTCAAGTTCTGCTAATATGGTGTGGTTGGTACAATATGATCTTATATAATCCTTAAATATTCTCCATTCTCCAAATATTTTCCGGTTCAATACTCCTCTAACTCTTCCCATCAGTTTTGCTAGTTGTAACTATTCTAACATGAGTAGATGGCTTCTCTTGGTGATGTCCACAAGGGTATTTTTGGCTCAAGTAGTCCTTTATATTTATTCCAGATTTTATATCACGATTTTCTTATCACATGGCTCAAAAATCCCCTGTGGACCTTCACTTTTTTGTATATTAAAGAAGCGGGAGAACGGGAGAATTGGGGTTCTGCAATTAGAGAGACAATGAACTGCAAGGGGAGAACCCCAATCAAAACTCTCATTCCCTGTTGGGGAACCTGAGATCTGAAACTTTTCCTTTTCCCCAAGGAAGACGCCCCCAAGGCTGGTCCAATTGGCCACTTTGGATAGCAAGGGACTTGGGCTCGGTTTCCGATTTCTCTTTTTCTCGTAAATGCAGCTGCACCGGCAGCACCAGGATCCGGAAGGAAGAGACTGGTGCGCGTCAGAGCGCAAGGGCGCTTCCAGTTCCTTTCCGTTCTCTCTGGAGCAGCCGGATTTGGCACTGGGCTGCCAGGCGTCCAATGGAAAGGGACTCTTTTCCCTAGAGTGTAAGAGGCAGAAAAGGGTGCTGGGACCCCATGGTAAATAAAGGGAGGGGACCTTCGTAGAGAAGACGAACGACTGTCAGGTCAGGAAAGACCTGGGAAAAGGCTAGCGGGTTTTTGTTTCTGTTTTGGCTTTGGTTGAAAAATGGGATCCCCACATTCTAAGCGTTCTAACCGCCACACTCAGAGGCATGTGCTGGTCGCAGCAGGAGGGGAGTCTCCCTGGATGCTTCAGCAGCCGGCCTCCTCTGGGTCTCCTGGCCCCCTCCTCTCCTCCCTCCGAGCCTGAACTGCTCTCTGCCCCAGACTCTTCCCGCTCACCTAACCCAGTTTCCTCCTCAGCTTGCAACATCTCCCCTTCCGGTCTGCTCCCTTTTCTCCCTCTTTCACCTCATCCCATCACCAGTCAACAGGATCTGAGCCTTCTTGCCTTGTGGGTCCCCAGCTTGTGCCTCCCCCCCCCCACCAGCCAGTCCTTGACAACAACAGCAGCCACAGCACTGTGGTCCTCTGGTAGGAAAACTCCTGAGAAGCATGATTGAAGCAAACCTTCTGGGACTATGGAAAAATGCTATCTTCCTCAAACCCCAGAATGAGCAGGTGCTCTGGGGTTGCCCCATGGGGTTCATGAGTGAAGATGGGCCCCCCAGGAGACTTCCCTGCTACCTGCAGCCCCTCCTTCCCCCTCTTGAAATTAGACTTGGGGGGGGGGGAATCTCCCATTCAATTACAGTATTTCAAGTTTTCTTCAGAACGCGCAGGGCAGGAGGCAGCGATGAAGTTCTGGTGAAGAAGCAGTGCTTGGAGATCATGTGGTGGTGGGGGGGTGAGAGAGTTTGGTACAAAACCAAACGTACTTTCATCTAAAATTATACTCACCATTGTGAGATGCTGCCTTCATTATTTGATTATTATAATGTTTTACATATAAACACCAGAACTTCACATATCCCTGATGCTTTTAGGAATGATTTCCTGCTGAGTTCATTGCTCAGAGTGGACTCTGAGAGGAAGAAGTCCCACACTCCATACATCTAAATGGGTTCTCCCATGTGAGAGTCCTGGGATGCTCCTTAAATACTCCGTTATAAATAAAGCACTTCTTGCAATCTTTTCATTTAAACTGCTTCTCCTCTCTGAGTTTGTTGATGGTTTGAAGGGTTTCAACTCTTAAAGTTCTTCCTGTCCGTGAGTCTGTTGATTTTGAACTTCCACTAAGAGTGAACCTCTATCTACTTTCCTGATATTTATACGGTTTGTCTTTAGTGTGAGTTTCTGACATAAATCAAGGGTTCCACTCTGACTGAAGCTCCTTCCGCAGTCCATACCTTTAAATGGTTTCTCCCCTGTGTATCTACTGATGTTTTCTAAGATTTCCACTCTGAGTGAAGTATTTACTGTACTCCATACATTGAAATGGTTTCTCCCCTGTGTGAGTCTGTTGATGTCTTCTAAGGCTTCCACTATAACTGAAGCGCTTTCCACACTCCATACATTTAAATGGTTTCTCTCCTGTATGAGTCCGTTGATGTGATCTAAGGTGTGCACTCCGATTGAAGCTCTTTCCACAATCCATACATTTAAATCGTTTCATACCGATGTGAACCTGTTAATGTGATCTAAGGTCTCCACTCTGACTGAAGCTCTTTCCACACTCGATACATTTAAATGGTTTCTCCCCTGTGTGAGTCCGTTCATGATTTCTAAGGTTTCCACTCTGATTGAAGCTCTTTCCACACTCGATACATTTAAGTGGTTTCTCCCCTGTGTGAGTCCGTTCATGTCTTCTAAGGTGTGCACTCTGACTGAAGCTCTTTCCACACTCGATACATTTATATGGTTTCTCCCCTGTATGAGTCCGTTGATGTGATCTAAGGCTTGTATTACAACGGAAGCTCTTTCCACACTCGATACATTTAAATGGTTTCTCCCCTGTGTGAGTCCGTTGATGTGTTCTAAGGTGTGCACTCTGACTGAAGCTCTTTCCACACTCGATACATTTAAATCGTTCCATACCGATGTGAGCCTGTTGATGTGATCTAAGGTCTCCACTCTGACTGAAGCTCTTTCCACACTCGATACATTTAAATGGTTTCTCCCCTGTGTGAGTCCGTTCATGATTTCTAAGGTTTCCACTCTGATTGAAGCTCTTTCCACACTCGATACATTTAAGTGGTTTCTCCTCTGTGTGAGTCCGTTCATGTCTTCTAAGGTGTGCACTCTGACTGAAGCTCTTTCCACACTCGATACATTTATATGGTTTCTCCCCTGTATGAGTCCGTTGATGTGATCTAAGGCTTGTATTACAACGGAAGCTCTTTCCACACTCGATACATTTAAATGGTTTCTCCCCTGTGTGAGTCCGTTGATGTGATCTAAGGTGTGCACTCCGATTGAAGCTCTTTCCACAATCCATACATTTAAATCGTTCCATACCGATGTGAGCCTGTTGATGTGATCTAAGGTCTCCACTCTGACTGAAGCTCTTTCCACACTCGATACATTTAAATGGTTTCTCCCCTGTGTGAGTCCGTTCATGATTTCTAAGGTTTCCACTCTGATTGAAGCTCTTTCCACACTCGATACATTTAAGTGGTTTCTCCTCTGTGTGAGTCCGTTCATGTCTTCTAAGGTGTGCACTCTGACTGAAGCTCTTTCCACACTCGATACATTTATATGGTTTCTCCCCTGTATGAGTCCGTTGATGTGATCTAAGGCTTGTATTACAACGGAAGCTCTTTCCACACTCGATACATTTAAATGGTTTCTCCCCTGTGTGAGTCCGTTCATGTCTTCTAAGGCTTCCACTATCACTAAAGCTCTTTCCACACTCAATACATTCATATGGTTTCTCCCCTGTGTGAGTCCGTTGATGTGTCCTAAGGTTTCCACTATTATTAAAGTTCTTTCCACACTCAATACATGTATATGGTTTCTCCCCTGTGTGAGTCTGTTTGTGCAATTTAAGGTTTCCACTCTGACTGAAATTCTTCCCACACTCCCTGCACTTAAAACGTTTTCTCTCTCTGTGAGTCCGCTGGTGTGTTTTAAGTTTTGCATTGAAAGAGAAGCTCTTTCCGCACTCCATACCTTTAAATGGGTTCTTTCCTTTTTGTGTTCGTTGATGTGAACTATGTGTGCTCGTTCAGTGAAGCATATTCCACATTTCACACATTTTAATGGCCAATCCTAATGAAATGAAAGGTGCCCTGTCCTCTGCAATTCTGTCTTCTCCATCACCTTTTTCAGAGTGGGCAGAAAGGAAATCCTGTTTGGGTTTAAAGAAAGAGAACACAGGAAAAAAAGGACACATCAACCGCCATTAGCACCTTCTCTTATTTCAACATCTCCTACATTCTCCCATGTCCTACCCATGTTCCCAATTTTTAGGAAATCAAAATGGTATGATGTCAAATGGTAGTAATGTATCAGCAACCTTTCATAATCCTCAATCATCTTTAATAACACAGCATGATCTTGGAATACTGTTGTCCTGTGGAACTGCCTTTCAAATCAAGTGGTTGCCCCCATTTCCACCTCTAGATCTTCATGAATCAACTGCATAGTCCCACTGACCTCAGGAGGTCTATATGGACCATTTTGGGAGACCCAGGTCTACATCTTTTCTGGGGACTGTGGTCTGGGTCAGTCAGAGAACTAGTGACAAGGCTTGGTGCTTGGGGTCAGCTGAATGGGTGCTCAGGGAAGCTCCTGTTCTGGGAGATGGACCTCTGTCTACATGCCTCACATTGCAGGGAGAGAGCAGGAGAAGCAGAAGGAAAGCAGATGGCAAATGGGAATCCCAGATGGAAACACCCACCCCAATGGTTCCTTATAATGATGATGTGCTGCCTGATCCTGTGCTTGTCTTCTGACAGAGGACTATCCTAATCTGGCACTGAAAAGCAGGATATTCAAGGCAAGGAGATAACTGTACTTAATGGTAGGTAGCCATATTGGTCTGACACAGTTCAAGTAAAAAAGTAACAAAAATAGTCCAGTAGCACCTTAGGGTCATGGGAGAAAAGCAATGACAAACCTAGACAGCATCTTAAAATGCAGAGACATTTTAAGGTCTCTGCCAACAAAGGTCCGTATAGTTCAAGCTATGGTTTTCCCAGTCGTGATCTATGGAAGTGAGAGCTGGACCATAAAGAAGGCTGAACGCCGAAGAATGGATGCTTTTGAATTATGGTGCTGGAGGAGACTCTTGAGAGTCCCATGGACTGCAAGAAGATCAAACCTCTAGATTCTGAAGGAAATCAGCCCTGAGTGCTCACTGGAAGGACAGATCCTGAAGCTGAGGCTCCAAGACTTTGGCCACCTCAAGAGAAGAGAAGACTCCCCAAGAAAGACCCTGATGTTGGGAAAGATGGAGGGCACAAGGAGAAGGGGACGACAGAGGACGAGATGGTTGGATAGTGTTCTCGAAGCTACCAGCATGAGTTTGACCAAACTGCGGGAGGAAGTGGAAGACAGGAGTGCCTGGCATGCTCTGGTCAAGGGGGTCACGAAGCGTCGGACACGACTAATCGACTAAACAACAACAACAACAGCACCTTAGGGACCAATTAAGTTTGTTCAAGGTCTAAGCTTTCGTGTGCATGCACACTTCTTCATATAGTGATGGGTAGTAGGAGATGGAAGTAGGAGTACCCTTCTGAGAAAAATCCCACCCCACCCTCCCACGATATACAAGGGTCTGGTGACATCTGTTTCAGTGTATCTGAAGAAGTGTGCATGCACACGAAAGCTTATATCTAGAACAATCATAGGTGCTACTGGACTATTTTTTATTTCAACTGCGTCAAACCAACACGGCTACCTACCTGCATCTAGATGTCATGGGGTGTTGGGGAGCAGTAGTTCCTTTGGTGGGGGACATGTCCTGCACCTTCTGGGGTCATTTTTCCACCCTTGGTGCCCACCCTGCACTCAGCTCTCACCTGTGGCTTCCATGCAACAGGGGTTCAAGCAACGGCTTCAACCGGCCGGCTAAACCAGGTGAGGAAAGCTGATGGGTCTCAAATCCTTGGGGGGCTGGGGAATTCTGCTGCACCTGAAGTCAAGCCCTGGTGGATGGAGAGGAGGAGAACAACCGTGAATCCCACAGTCCAGAAGGCAGATTCTGCCCGTGCGGAAGAGGAAAGTGAAGGGCAGATGGGGCACGTCCACCTGGAGGCTTGTTATCTAGTCCCAGGGTTACTCTGACCTTGAACTATATATAAATTACAGTATTGAAATGCACCCGCTCCCACTTCCTATTCTGATATTACTGTACTCTGCTTGTCTGTTTCTTACTTGAGTGCTGTTTTGGTTTGCTAAGTCAGGGTTTTACTGTGAGTTACATTTTTGCTATTTTTTGGATCCTGTTATGCTTACTGTATTCAGTAATAAATTTCTCAGCTGAATTACTTTTTTCCTGACCCTGTGTGTTTTCCTACTCTGCTAACTATACATCGATCATTATGGAGGAGCCAGTGGCGTAGCGTGGGGGGTACAGGGGGGGCCAGCCGCAACATCTGGGGGGGGCGCGCTCGCACTCGCAGTGCGAAAATCCACGGGTTAGGGGGCGCAAATTACTTGCCTTGCCCCGGGTGCTGACAACCCACGCTACGCCACTGGGAGGAGCAAGATCTGCAACCTAAAGCCCTCAACAGCCTTGGCCCTGTGGACCTGAAGGAGCATCTTCACCCCCATCGCTCAGTCCGGACAGGGAGGTCCGCCTCCGAGGGTCTTCTGCTGGTTCCCTTGCTGTTAGAAGTGAAGTTCCAGGGAACCAGGCAGAGGGCCTCCTGCCCCATGGAATGCCCTCCCTTCCGAGGGCAAGGAGGTAAGCAACTATCTGACATTTAGAAGACAGCTGTATCAGGAGGTTTTTAATGTTGGATGTTTTACTGTCTTGTATATGTACTGTAGGGACGCTGGTGTCGTTGTGGGTTAAACCATAGAGCCTAGGACTTCCTGATCAGAAGGTTGGCGGTTCGAATCCCCGCGACGGGGTGAGCTCCCATTGCTCAGTCCCTGCTCCTGCCAACCTAGCAGTTCGAAAGCACATCAAAGTGCAAGTAGATAAATAGGTACTACTCCGGTGGGAAGGTAAACGGCATTTCCGTGCGCTGCTCTGGTTTGCCAGAAGCAGCTTAGTCATGCTGGTCACATGACCCGGAAGCTGTACGCTGGTTCCCTCGGCCAGTGAAGTGAGATGAGCGCCGCAACCCCAGAGTCGGCCACGACTGGATCTAATGGTCAGGGGTCCCTTTACCTATATGTACTGTAAGCTGCCCAGAGCGGCTGGGGGAAAATACTAATACTAGAACTTCTACAGTGGTACCTTGGGTTACAGGTGCTTCAGGTTACAGACTCTGCTAACCCAGAAATAGTACCTTGGGTTAAGAACTTTGCATTAGGACGAGAACAGAAATCACGAGGCGGCAGCAGGAGGCCCCATTAGCTAAAGTGGTACCTCATTTTAAGAACAGTTTCAGGTTAAGAACGGACCTCCAGAACGAATTCAGTTCTTAACCTGAGGTACCACTGTAATATTATTATTATCGTGTGATTTTTTGTAGTTATTTTGGAATTTTTACTGCAATATTAGCTGACGAAATGCTATGGGTGGAGAAAATCACAGGGTTGCCGTAAAAAAGAATCCTACCCACGAACGCTCATTCACATACAGTCTGTAAATCTGGGGATGTCACACACCTCACCTGTGCTAATACTGGCAGTCTTTGGCCTGCACAGGCACACCCGGTGTGTAGAGCCTCCAGCCACAGGCACTGTCTATCATGAAAATGGGTCCTTTGACTGGGAAGATTCATGCAGTCGCTGTCATCGGATGATGAAGGATTGTATCTCAGCTTGTCAGTCACTCTGACATTGCCTTCGAAGTTTAAGAGGATCAGAAATCCTTTTGAGGTGCAACTTCTATATCAGCCCTGAGAGCCATTCCATGGACTCTGCACCCCTGTTTCTGATGACAGGTGTACATTATCCTCATCCTCAGCGGAAAAGACAATAAAGATGGAAGCCTGAGAGAGAGGAAAAGGTTTCTGGCTGCTTCCTGGGTGGGATTGCGGAAACCAAGAGCCGCTTCTGAGAAGGCCTCCCCCCTCCCCCCTTCCTCTCGGGATTTCCTCTCCTCTCCAGGGGACCAATGGTTGGACTGGGCAGAAGGGCTGCGTCTGGACAGGGCAGGGGCTTATGGGGTGGAAGGAGGATGGAGGTTGCAGGAAGGAAGGCGTGGGGGGACAGGACCCCCACTTTCCAGGGATCCCTCTCTGGTCGCCTTGAAGGGGGGGGGGTCGATTGCTGGGCGGGAGGGAGAAGCCAAGGCGGCCCCTCCGGAGATTCATCGTGGGCGTCATGATGGAGATGTCTCCCCAAAGACTGGTCTTCCTATCTCCCCACCCACCCGGCCAATGCTGCGCTTCCCTGCCTCGGCGATGCCCCCCTCCCTTCTCCCCCACTTCCATGACCCCTCTCTTTCTCCCGGAGTCTCCCCTGCACCCAGAGGCTTCCTTGGCACCACTCACCCCACGTCCTGCGTCCCCATCTCTCCATCCGCATGCCCCCCCTAACAGGAGCAAGGGAGGGACAGGGGGGTCTCTATCCAGGCGTCTCTCGCGCCCCTTAAGCTTTTCATGGGACGCGCGGAGCCTGGGAAACGGGGCGAGGGGTCCGCCCTGCGAGGAAAGCCCCCCTTCGCAGCACGCGTGCCGGGATCCAGGCCCCACGGAAGGCGCTTGGGGGAGCTGGAGGGGTCTCTGGGTCCTCGTCTCTTCCTCCCCCCCCCCGACCCCTTTACCTCTATGTCCTCGCTCCCGATTCTCCTTTCCTTTCCTGCAGCATCGAAAGCCGCCCCCCCTAGATCTACGGGGCAGAGCAGCAATCCGGAGTGGAAGCTCCACGTCCTGGAGAAGAAGGCAGGGTGGGAGGGGGCTCACCCCCCCATTCCTGGGACAGAAGAGCCGGATTGGAGGAGGAGGAGGAAGGGGTGGGACGTTTGGGGGCGGGATCTGGGCTTGTGGGGGCGGGGTGAGAGGAGGATGTGCCGGGAGGGGAGGGAAAGAATTGGGGGGGGGGAGAGGAAGGTTTCCCCCTCCCCTCTTCCTTCTGGATCAGGAGAGCGGGGGAGGGGCTGATCCCGGAGATCCAGCTGCAAAGAGGGGTCCCCCCCACAAGTGCAACATCCTCCCCCACCCCACCCCACGAGCTTAGATCCCTCCGTGTTTTAGGTCTTGGTGCTGTTCAAACCAGAAATGGAGGGGGGCAGCTAAACGACTCCCCCCAAATCCCAGCTCCCCACCCCAGCCTCTGACTCAGGCCAGGACAAGGACCGTGGACACAGGCACCGTCCCTGCACAACAGCCAAGAGGCTCAGCAAAGCAGCCGATACAATTGGAGCCAGAAGCGGATTCCAAAATCTGAGGGCTCCCTTGGACCAGAAACAAGGAGACCAGCCAGGAAGAGCAGAGCAAAAGAGCAGCCAGTCAGCTTGGTCTTGATTGAAGACTGTTGCCACAGGACTCCCACCTGCCCCCAGGTGGAACAAGATGGAAGCCCCCTGACCAAACTTCGGAGGCAGTGGAAGACAGGATTGCCTGGCGTGCTCTGGTCCATGGAGTCACGAAAAGTCGGACACAACTAAACAACCACAAAAAATCCCCCATGCTACACCCCCAAGACTACATCATGACTACATCATTGACACATCACAAAGAGGAGGGGTTGAGGGAGGAGTTGTGGTGGTAACCTGAGTGTCTTGTTGAGAGCCAGTGGGGTGTAGTGGTTAAGAGCGGTGGACTCGTAATCTGGGGAACCGGGTTCGCGTCTTCGCTCCTCCACATGCAGCTGTTGGGTGACCTTGGGCTAGTCACACTTCTCTGTGGTCTCTCAGCCCCACTCACCTCACAGAGTGTTTGTTGTGGGGGAGGAAGGGAAAGGAGATTATTAGCCGCATTGAGACTCCTTCGGGTAGTGATAAAGCGGGATATGAAATCCAAACTCTTCTTCTTCTTCTTGTCACCTGCCCAGTTGCTCCTTTCCTCTCCCCATGATCATATTCCTGAGGACAAAGCGGAGTTCATGTGTTTCCTGCAACACATGAATCCCAATCCCAAAGAAGGGCAGTGCCCAAGAATGCTCCACCTATCATACAATTGCCCTCATTTCACACTCTAGCAAGGTTATGCTTAAAATACTACAAGGCAGGCTTAAGCAGTATGTGGACCGAGAACTCCCAGAAGTGTAAGCTGGATTTCGAAGGGGCAGAGGAACCAGAGACCAAATTGCAAACATGCGCTGGATTATGGAGAAAGCTAGAGAGTTCCAGAAAGACATCTACTTCTGCTTCATTGACTATGCAAAACCATTTGACTGGGTCAACCACAGCAAACGATGGCAAGTTCTTAAAGAAATGGGAGTGCCTGATCACCTCATCTGTCTCCTGACATCTATGTGGGACAAGAAGCTACAGTTAGAACTGGATATGGAATAACTGATTGGTTCAAAATTGAGATAGGAGTGTGACAAGGCTTTAAATTGTCTCCCTGCTTATTTAACGTAGATGCAGAATTCATCATGCGAAAGGCTGGAATGGATGGATCCTGTAATAAAAAAATTAAGGTTGATACGGAAGGGGGCATGTTTGTCAACCCCCTTCCCAGAAGCCTTCAGAGGGTTTGAGGCGATGACCTCAAGGGCGCCCGGCCCTACAAGGACCCCCCAGCCCCCTCACTCTTTTGCACTAAGCACCAGGCGAAGCCCAAGCCCCCAAATAAAGTGCCCTTTCCCTGCGCCCTTTCCCTTTCCCTGGGTAGACCGGAGGAGCGAGTAGCGTATTTTATGAATGAACAGACTAGTTGCCTACGGGAGCGTCCTGACCAATCAGCCTGCACCCAACGCAGCCTCCAGCCAATCAAGACAATGCATTTGGTCTGCAGTGTCAGCTCTTGCAGGCCTCAGTCACCTTCTGACAAGCTGTTGACAGCTCCCTGCAGGGAGAACAATGGACTGACACCTCGTATCCTTGCTAAGCCCATCCAAATTGATACAATCTATCAATTCGCTTCCCAAATGAGCTGCCACTCTTTCAAAGGGCTAAAAAAGTATTAAAATTCATAGAAAATCACCCGCACCACCGATTCTCTTGCTTTCAATGCCAAACTGCTCAATTTACTCAGGACTTCAAGACTGCCCAGTACCTTCCATAATCCCTCAAGCGGGAGGTCACAGTTACGTACACCCAGGAAAGACCTCATTGATGCCAAATCACCCAGTCTAGCCCTTCCTCCAGGCTCGGCCGGGTCACAGACTATGCAAACTAAGACCCCATTGCTCTCTTATCACCGGTAATCAGAATGTGCCTTTCAATACATGTTTCAACTCTGCATGTTTCCCCCTCCCTCCTCCATATGTTAATCCTGTAGAACCCACCCCTTTTCTGATGTAATCGTGATGTAGCAATGATGTAGTGATGATGCTTTTGAACTGTATCTGGGGTAATGGTGGGAAGTTTTAAAAGTTCATGTCACCCCATCCTCGGGGTTCAATCTCGCCTTGAACCTGTTGCACAACAAACGTGGATCTTCTCCAACTTGCTGCAGTCTCTGGCTGCGCTCCTTTTGTTCTGCAGGGACCCGCGGACTCAGTCCGACGAGCTAGGTGGCAGAGCAGCCTCGCACCTAGATTTTCCGTAACAAGGTCTTATAATATACAATAAATGTTCATAAATGTACCAACCAAGCGCATACATAGATATGTGGACCACATGTCTGGAGCAGCACAGGAAGAGCGTCCTGAAACCATTTAGACTCCCCAACTGACCAAATGTTTTCTCTGCAAGGAGGGAGCGGGTGAGGGAACCTTCCCATTGTCTCAGGAATTGGGAAATCACCATCTCAAAGGAATGGCCAGACTACCAGGAAAGGCAATCAGATAAGGCATTATCAGATAACCTGGCAGACGGGAAAAACAACAACATTCAAATTTCTGTTGTAGACCGCCTTTTCTGTGATGTAGGTATGTTGGGAATCAAGCCTTTATCAGGAGAAACTGGCCACTCTCCAGGCACCCGGCTTGATCTCCTGTTGACCTCCCTGTCTGCATTCCCCAGCAGGATCCAGGCAGAGGTCGCGATAGGCGATCCTTCTCAGAGTGAGAAGAACACCCCCCCTCTTTCCTGCCCCCCCCAGGCAGGGGAAAGAGATAGACAGCAACGTATTTACATGCCTTTATTTCTGTCTTTGCAGCGTTACAAAAATCATGACTGCTCTCTTCAAGCTCCAGCAGTCGAGAGACAAACTCCTCCTGTACTTCCTGTACAGCTCATATTACACTCTCAGCTAATTCCGGTGCCCTCTGCACTGTGAATTGACTGTCCCTCTGTTTCCCACGGAACAGTCCCAACATTCCCATTATGTTTTGCTTTCAAGCTACCAGCTCGCGGCCGCATTGCTTCTATATCGTAACATACTCCCCCATATGAATCAATGTGCGCTGCGAGCAAAGCGTGATCCAGAGAAGAAAACAAATAGTTGTTATATATATAACACTCGCCTGTTGTTTCAGTTCCACCCTTGGAACTACCCGCCACTGGTTTCCCCAGTGTACCTCTCTGGTTGTCTGACTTCCAAGGAATGAGTGCATCTGCATTACCTTGGCTAGGGAATGTAGTGTTACGCTTAGCAACTCTCTGTTGTGTCTTTGTCTCTGACTTAGACACAGCTTCAACCTGTAGTCCAAAAACAGGTGGAGGCCCAAGGTTGGGAAATGCTGCTCTAGTGACCCCAGGGTCTGGAAAGAACTGGAGTTCCAGCGAGGCTAACCAGAGGAAGCAACGCTTGATCAGGCCGGCCTCAAATTGATTTATTTTTTTAAATAATCTTTTTTGATTTAAATTACACACATATACAAAGAATTTGGAATCTCATACTGCAAAAATAAAATTAAAGAAAAAACGAGGAAGAAAAAAGGAAAGAAGAAAATACAGAAAAGAAAGAAAAAGCAGATTTATGTGCATGATTAATTAAATAAAAAAGACTTCTGACAAAACGAGTCTTCCAATCATTCTCATTGTGCTGTTTATACTGCCGTTGTTTCTTTCGCACAGTTTTATATTCTTTAATATTGTTCCCGTCTACTCCACAAACAGTATTTGTTGTGTTTACAAGTATCACTCATGTTCTGCTAATATGGTGTGGTTGGTACAATATGATCTTATATAATCCTTAAATATTCTCCATTCTCCAAATATTTTCCGGTTCAGTACTCCTCTAACTCTTCCCGTCAGTTTTGCTAGTTGTAACTATTCTAACATGAGTATATGGCTTCTCTTGGTGATGTCCACAAGGGTATTTTTGGCTCAAGTAGTCCTTTATATTTATTCCAGATTTTATATCACGATTTTCTTATCACATGGCTCAAAAATCCCCTGTGGACCTTCACTTTTGGTATATTAAAGAAGCGTGCCATCCAGACCGATTCTTGTGGCCTTCCAAGTCTAATATGTCCGTATCTTTTAGTGTAATCCTGTCTTTTATCCAAACCAATCCTGCCACCGCATGGTAGAATTCCAAATCTGGCAATGCAAAACCTCCTCTCTCCTTTTGATCTGTTAATAACTGGTGTTTAATTCTCGGTTTCTTTCCACTCCATATAAATCGAGATATTTCCCTTTGCCACTCCTTAAAACAATTCATTCCTCCTAAAATGAGCATTGTTTGGAATAAGAACATCATTTTGGGGAGGATATTCATTTTCACAACCGAGACTCTTCCCCAGAGTGAGAGATGGAGTTTGGTCCAGGTTTCCATATTTTTAAAAAGTTCTTTCCATACTTTACTATAATTATCCTCATATACATTTATACTTTTATTTGAAATCCAGATCCCTAGGTATTTAACCTTATTTTTTAGTTTCCAGGCCTGTTTTTTCTTGAAGTTCTTTTTTTTCTTACATTGTGAGGCTTTTGTCAGTAATTTAGTTTTTTGGTAGTTTATTTGCAGCCCCAGGCTGGCCATGAATTAATCTAGTAAAAGACCCCGGGGTGGCCAGGAGCAGCGCATGCGGACGTGAGTCTAGGAATGGAGAAGATTGTGGGCGGGATTCTCTGAAACACCCAGCAACCAAGATTCTCATCCTTGGCTGTCTCTTCTGCTTACGGTCTTCACTCCCAGCCTTCCTGGAAAGAGGTAGCTAGGAGGCGAAGGGGAGAACGGGAGAATTGGGGTTCTGCAATTAGAGCGGCAATGAACTGCAAGGGGAGAACCCCAATCAAAACTCTCATTCCCTGTCGGGGAACCTGAGATCTGAAACTTTTCCTTTTCCCCAAGGAAGACGCCCCAAGGCTGGTCCAAGTGGCCACTTTGGATAGCAAGGGACTTGGGCTCGGTTTCCGATTTCTCTTTTTCTCGTAAATGCAGCTGCACCGGCAGCACCAGGATCCGGAAGGAAGTGACTGGTGCGCGTCAGAGCGCAAGAGCATTTCCAGTTCCTTTCCGTTCTCTCTGGAGCAGCCGGATTTGGCACTGGGCTGCCAGGCGTCCAATGGAAAGGGACTCTTTTCCCTAGAGGCAGAAAAGGTTGCTGGGACCCCATGGTAAATAAAGGGAGGGAGAAGGACTTTGTAGAGACCTTCGTAGAGAAGACAAATGACTGTCAGGTCAGGAAAGACCTGGGAAAAGGCTAGCGGGTTTTTGTTTCTGTTTTGGCTTTGGTTGAAAAATGGGATCCCCACATTCTAAGCGTTCTAACCGCCACACTCAGAGGCATATGCTGGTCGCAGCAGGAGGGGGGTCTCCCTGGATGCTTCAGCAGCCGGCCTCCTCTGGGTCTCCTGGCCCCCTCCTCTCCTCCCTCCGAGCCTGAACTGCTCTCTGCCCCAGACTCTTCCCGCTCACCTAACCCAGTTTCCTCCTCAGCTTGCAACATCTCCCCTTCCGGTCTGCTCCCTTTTCTCCCTCTTTCGCCTCATCCCATCACCAGTCAACAGGATCTGAGCCTTCTTGCCTTGTGGGTCCCCCAGCTTGTGCCTCCCCCTCACCAGCCAGTCCTTGACAACAACAGCAGCCACAGCACTGTGGTCCTCTGGTAGGAAAACTCCTGAGAAGCATGATTGAAGCAAACCTTCTGGGACTATGGAAAAATGCTATCTTCCTCAAACCCCAGAATGAGCAGGTGCTCTGGGGTTGCCCCATGGGGTTCATGAGTGAAGATGGGCCCCCCAGGAGACTTCCCTGCTACCTGCAGCCCCTCCTTCCCCCTCTTGAAATTAGACTTGGGGGGGGGAATCTCCCATTCAATTACAGTATTTCAAGCTTTCTTCAGAACGCGCAGGGCAGGAGGCAGCGATGAAGTTCTGGTGAAGAAGCAGTGCTTGGAGATCATGTGGTGGTGGTGGGGGGTGAGAGAGTTTGGTACAAAAACCAAAAGTACTTTCATCTAAAATTATACTCACCATTGTGAGATGCTGCCTTCATTATTTGATTATTATAATGTTTTACATATAAACACCAGAACTTCACATATCCCTGATGCTTTTAGGAATGATTTCCTGCTGAGTTCATTGCTCAGAGTGGACTCTGAGAGGAAGAAGTCCCACACTCCATACATCTAAATGGGTTCTCCCATGTGAGAGTCCTGGGATGCTCCTTAAATACTCCGTTATAAATAAAGCACTTCTTGCAATCTTTTCATTTAAACTGCTTCTCCTCTCTGAGTTTGTTGATGGTTTGAAGGGTTTCAACTCTTAAAGTTCTTCCTGTCCGTGAGTCTGTTGATTTTGAACTTCCACTAAGAGTGAACCTCTATCTACTTTCCTGATACTTATACGGTTTGTCTTTTGTGTGAGTTTCTGACATAAATCAAGGGTTCCACTCTGACTGAAGCTCCTTCCACAGTCCATACCTTTAAATGGTTTATCCCCTGTGTATCTACTGATGTTTTCTAAGATTTCCACTCTGAGTGAAGTATTTACTGTACTCCATACATTGAAATGGTTTCTCCCCTCTGTGAGTCTGTTGATGTCTTCTAAGGCTTCCACTATAACTGAAGCGTTTTCCACACTCGATACATTTAAATGGTTTCTCCCCTGTGTGAGTCTGTTGATGTGATCTAAGGCTTGTATTATAACGGAAACTCTTTCCACACTCGATACATTTATGTGGTTTCTCCCCTGTGTGAGTCTGTTGATGTCTTCTAAGGCTTCCACTCTGACTGAAGCGCTTTCCACACTCCATACATTTAAATGGTTTCTCTCCTGTATGAGTCCGTTGATGTGATCTAAGGCTTGTATTACAACGGAAACTCTTTCCACACTCGATACATTTAAATGGTTTCTCCCCTGTGTGAGTCTGTTGATGTCTTCTAAGGCTTCCACTATAACTGAAGCACTTTCCACACTCGATACATTGAAATGGTTTCTCCCCTGTGTGACTTCGTTGATGTGATCTAAGCTCTCCACTATTACTAAAGCTCTTTTCACACTCCATACAATGAAATGGTTTCTCCCTGTGTGAGTCCGTTCATGATTTCTAAGGTTTCCACTCTGATTGAAGCTCTTTCCACACTCGATACATTTAAGTGGTTTCTCCCCTGTGTGAGTCCGTTGATGTGTTCTAAGGTGTGCACTCTGACTGAAGCACTTTCCACACTCGATACATTGAAATGGTTTCTCCCCTGTGTGACTCCGTTGATGTGATCTAAGCTCTCCACTATTACTAAAGCTCTTTTCACACTCCATACAATGAAATGGTTTCTCCCCTGTGTGAGTCCGTTCATGATTTCTAAGGTTTCCACTCTGATTGAAGCTCTTTCCACACTCGATACATTTAAGTGGTTTCTCCCCTGTGTGAGTCCGTTGATGTGTTCTAAGGTGTGCACTCTGACTGAAGCTCTTTCCACACTCGATACATTTAAATGGTTTCTCCCCTGTGTGAGTCCGTTGATGTGTTCTAAGGTGTGCACTCTGACTGAAGCTCTTTCCACACTCGATACATTTATATGGTTTCTCCCTGTATGAGTCCGTTGATGTCTTCTATGGTGTGTACTCTGACTGAAGCTCTTTCCACACTCCAGACATGTAAATGGTTTCTCCCCTGTGTGAATCCGTTTGTGCAATTTAAGGTGTCCACTCTGACTGAAGTTCTTCCCATACTCCCTGCACTTAAAATGTTTTCTCTCTCTGTGAGTCCGCTGGTGTGTTCTAAGTTTTGCATTGAAAGAGAAGCTCTTTCCGCACTCCATACCTTTAAATGGGTTCTTTCCTTTTTGTGTTCGTTGATGTGAACTATGTGTGCTCATTCAGTGAAGCATATTCCACATTTCACACATTTTAATGGCTATTCCTAATGAAATGAAAGGTGCCCTGTCCTCTGCAATTCTGTCTTCTCCATCACCTTTTTCAGAGTGGGCAGAAAGGAAACCCTGTTTGGGTTTCAAGGAAGAGAACAAAGGGAAAAAAGGACACATCAACCGCCATTAGCACCTTCTCTTATTTCAACATCTCCTACATTCTCCCATGTCCTACCCATGTTCCCAATTTTTAGGAAATCAAAATGGTATGATGTCAAATGGTAGTAATGTATCAGCAACCTTTCATAATCCTCAATCATCTTTAATAACACAGCATGATCTTGGAATACTGTTGTCCTGTGGAACTGCCTTTCAAATCAAGTGGTTGCCCCCATTTCCACCTCTAGATCTTCATGAATCAACTGCATAGTCCCACTGACCTCAGGAGGTCTATATGGACCATTTTGGGAGACCCAGGTCTACATCTTTTCTGGGGACTGTGGTCTGGGTCAGTCAGAGAACTAGTGACAAGGCTTGGTGCTTGGGGTCAGCTGAATGGGTGCTCAGGGAAGCTCCTGTTCTGGGAGATGGACCTCTGTCTACATGCCTCACATTGCAGGGAGAGAGCAGGAGAAGCAGAAGGAAAGCAGATGGCAAATGGGAATCCCAGATGGAAACACCCACCCCAATGGTTCCTTATAATGATGATGTGCTGCCTGATCCTGTGCTTGTCTTCTGACAGAGGACTATCCTAATCTGGCACTGAAAAGCAGGATATTCAAGGCAAGGAGATAACCGTACTTTATGGTAGGTAGCCATATTGGTCTGACACAGTTCAAGTAAAAAAGTAACAAAAATAGTCCAGTAGCACCTTAGGGTCATGGGAGAAAAGCAATGACAAACCTAGACAGCATCTTAAAATGCAGAGACATTTTAAGGTCTCTGCCAACAAAGGTCCGTATAGTTCAAGCTATGGTTTTCCCAGTCGTGATCTATGGAAGTGAGAGCTGGACCATAAAGAAAGGCTGAACGCCGAAGAATGGATGCTTTTGAATTATGGTGCTGGAGGAGACTCTTGAGAGTCCCATGGACTGCAAGAAGATCAAACCTCTAGATTCTGAAGGAAATCAGCCCTGAGTGCTCACTGGAAGGACAGATCCTGAAGCTGAGGCTCCAAGACTTTGGCCACCTCAAGAGAAGAGAAGACTCCCCAAGAAAGACCCTGATGTTGGGAAAGATGGAGGGCACAAGGAGAAGGGGACGACAGAGGACGAGATGGTTGGATAGTGTTCTCGAAGCTACCAGCATGAGTTTGACCAAACTGCGGGAGGAAGTGGAAGACAGGAGTGCCTGGCATGCTATGGTCAAGGGGGTCACGAGCGTCGGACACGACTAATTGACTAAACAACAACAACAACAGCACCTTAGGGACCAATTAAGTTTGTTCAAGGTCTAAGCTTTCGTGTGCATGCACACTTCTTCATATAGTGATGGGTAGTAGGAGATGGAAGTAGGAGTACCCTTCTGAGAAAAACCCCACCCCACCCTCCCACGATATACAAGGGTCTGGTGACATCTGTTTCAGTGTATCTGAAGAAGTGTGCATGCACACGAAAGCTTAAATGTAGAACAATCATAGGTGCTACTGGACTATTTTTTATTTCAACTGCGTCAAACCAACACGGCTACCTACCTGCATCTAGATGTCATGGGGTGTTGGGGAGCAGTAGTTCCTTTGGTGGTGGTCATGTCCTGCACCTTCTGGGGTCATTTTTCCACCCTTGGTGCCCACCCTGCACTCAGCTCTCACCTGTGGCTTCCATGCAACAGGGGTTCAAGCAACGGCTTCAACCGGCCGGCTAAACCAGGTGAGGAAAGCTGATGGGTCTCAAATCCTTGGGGGGCTGCAGATTTCTGCTGCACCTGAAGTCAAGCCCTGGTGGATGGAGAGGAGGAGAACAACCGTGAATCCCACAGTCCAGAAGGCAGATTCTGCCCGTGCGGAAGAGGAAAGTGAAGGGCAGATGGGGCACGTCCACCTGGAGGCTTGTTATCTAGTCCCAGGGTTACTCTGACATTGAACTATATATAAATTACAGTATTGAAATGCACCCGCTCCCACTTCCTATTCTGATATGTCACATAGAGGAGGGAGAAAGGTTGTTTTCTGCTGCTCCAGAGAAGCGGACATGGAGCAATGGATCCAAACTACAAGAAAGAAGATTCCACCTAAACATTAGGAAGAACTTCCTGACAGTAAGAGCTGTTCGACAGTGGAATTTGCTGCCAAGGAGTGTGGTGGAGTCTCCTTCTTTGGAGGTCTTTAAGCAGAGGCTTGACAACCATATGTCAGGAGTGCTCTGATGGTGTTTCCTGCTTGGCAGGGGGTTGGACTCGATGGCCCTTGTGGTCTCTTCCAACTCTATGATTCTATGATTCTATGATATTTCTGTACTCTGCTTGTCTGTTTCTTACTTGAGTGCTGTTTTGGTTTGCTAAGTCAGGGTTTTACTGTGAGTTACATTTTTGCTATTTTTTGGATCCTGTTATGCTTACTGTATTCAGTAATAAATTTCTCAGCTGAATTACTTTTTTCCTGACCCTGTGTGTTTTCCTACTCTGCTAACTATACATCGATCATTATGGAGGAGCCAGTGGCGTAGCGTGGGGGGTACAGGGGGGGCCAGCCGCAACATCTGGGGGGGGGGCGCTCGCACTCGCAGTGCGAAAATCCACGGGTTAGGGGGCGCAAATTACTTGCCTTGCCCCGGGTGCTGACAACCCACGCTACGCCACTGGGAGGAGCAAGATCTGCAACCTAAAGCCCTCAACAGCCTTGGCCCTGTGGACCTGAAGGAGCATCTTCACCCCCATCGCTCAGTCCGGACAGGGAGGTCCTCCTCCAAGGGTCTTCTGCTGGTTCCCTTGCTGTTAGAAGTGAAGTTCCAGGGAACCAGGCAGAGGGCCTCCTGCCCCATGGAATGCCCTCCCTTCCGAGGGCAAGGAGGTAAGCAACTATCTGACATTTAGAAGACAGCTGTATCAGGAGGTTTTTAATGTTGGATGTTTTACTGTCTTGTATATGTACTGTAGGGACGCTGGTGTCGTTGTGGGTTAAACCATAGAGCCTAGGACTTCCTGATCAGAAGGTTGGCGGTTCGAATCCCCGCAACGGGGTGAGCTCCCGTTGCTCAGTCCCTGCTCCTGCCAACCTAGCAGTTCGAAAGCACATCAAAGTGCAAGTAGATAAATAGGTACTGCTCCGGTGGGAAGGTAAACAGCGTTTCCGTGCGCTGCTCTGGTTCGCCAGAAGCAGCTTAGTCATGCTGGTCACATGACCCGGAAGCTGTACGCTGGTTCCCTCGGCCAGTGAAGCGAGATGAGCGCCACAACCCCAGAGTCGGCCACGACTGGACCTAATGGTCAGGGGTCCCTTTACCTATATGTACTGTAAGCTGCCCAGAGCGGCTGGGGGAAAATACTAATACTAGAACTTCTACAGTGGTACCTTGGGTTACAGGTGCTTCAGGTTATAGGCGCTTGAGGTTACAGACTCTGCTAACCCAGAAATAGTACCTTGGGTTAAGAACTTTGCATCAGGACGAGAACAGAAATCACGAGGCGGCAGCAGGAGGCCCCATTAGCTAAAGTGGTACCTCAGGTTAAGAACAGTTTCAGGTTAAAAACGGACCTCCAGAACGAATTCAGTTCTTAACCTGAAGTACCACTGTAATATTATTATTATCGTGTGATTTTTTTGTAGTTATTTTGGAATTTTTACTGCAATATTAGCTTACGAAATCTTAAGGGTGGAGAAAATCACAGGGTTGCCGTAAAAAAGAATCCTACCCACGAACGCTCATTCACATACAGTCTGTAAATCTGGGGGGGGGGGGAGGTCACACACCTCACCTGTGCTAATACTGGCAGTCTTTGGCCTGCACAGGCACACCCGGTGTGTAGAGCCTCCAGCCACAGGCACTGTCTATCATGAAAATGGGTCCTTTGACTGGGAAGATTCATGCAGTCGCTGTCATCGGATGATGAAGGATTGTATCTCAGCTTGTCAGTCACTCTGACATTGCCTTCGAAGTTTAAGAGGATCAGAAATCCTTTTGAGGTGCAACTTCTGTATCAGCCCTGAGAGCCATTCCATGGACTCTGCACCCCTGTTTCTGATGACAGGTGTACATTATCCTCATCCTCAGCGGAAAAGACAATAAAGATGGAAGCCTGAGAGAGAGGAAAAGGTTTCTGGCTGCTTCCTGGGTGGGATTGCGGAAACCAAGAGCCGCTTCTGAGAAGGCCTCCCCCCTCCCCTCTTCCTCTCGGGATTTCCTCTCCTCTCCAGGGGACCAGTGGTTGGACTGGGCAGAAGGGCTGCGTCTGGACAGGGCAGGGGCTTATGGGGTGGAAGGAGGATGGAGGTTGCAGGAAGGAAGGCGTGGGGGGACAGGACCCCCACTTTCCAGGGATCCCTCTCTGGTCGCCTTGAAGGGGGGGGGGTCGATTGCTGGGCGGGAGGGAGAAGCCAAGGCGGCCCCTCCGGAGATTCATCGTGGGCGTCATGATGGAGATGTCTCCCCAAAGACTGGTCTTCCTATCTCCCCACCCACCCGGCCAATGCTGCGCTTCCCTGCCTCGGCGATGCCCCCCTCCCTTCTCCCCCCACTTCCATGACCCCCTCTCTTTCTCCCGGAGTCTCCCCTGCACCCAGAGGCTTCCTTGGCACCACTCACCCCACGTCCTGCGCCCCCGTCTCTCCATCCGCATGCCCCCCCTAACAGGAGCAAGGGAGGGACAGGGGGGTCTCTATCCAGGCGTCTCTCGTGCCCCTTAAGCTTTTCATGGGACGCGCGGAGCCTGGGAAACGGGGCGAGGGGTCCGCCCTGCGAGCAAAGCCCCTTCGCAGCACGCGTGCCGGGATCCAGGCCCCACGGAAGGCGCTTGGGGGAGCTGGAGGGGTCTCTGGGTCCTCGTCTCTTCCTCCCCCCCCCCCGACCCCTTTACCTCTTTGTCCTCGCTCCCGATTCTCCTTTCCTTCCTGCAGCATCGCAAGCCGCCCCCCAGATCTACGGGGCAGAGCAGCAATCCGGAGTGGAAGCTCCACGTCCTGGAGAAGAAGGCAGGGTGGGAGGGGGCTCACCCCCCCATTCCTGGGACAGAAGAGCCGGATTGGAGGAGGAGGAGGAAGGGGTGGGACGTTTGGGGGCGGGATCTGGGCTTGTGGGGGCGGGGTGAGAGGAGGAGGTGCCGGGAGGGGAGGGAAAGAATTGAGGGGGGAGAGGAAGGTTTCCCCTCTACCGTCTTCCTTCTGGATCAGGAGAGCGGGGGAGGGGCTGATCCCGGAGATCCAGCTGCAAAGAGGGGTCCCCCCCACAAGTGCAACATCCTCCCCCACCCCACCCCACGAGCTTAGATCCCTCCGTGTTTTAGGTCTTGGTGCTGTTCAAACCAGAAATGGAGGGGGGCAGCTAAACGACTCCCCCCAAATCCCAGCTCCCCACCCCAGCCTCTGACTCAGGCCAGGACAAGGACCGTGGACACAGGCACCGTCCCTGCACAACAGCCAAGAGGCTCAGCAAAGCAGCCGATACAATTGGAGCCAGAAGCGGATTCCAAAATCTGAGGGCTCCCTTGGACCAGAAACAAGGAGACCAGCCAGGAAGAGCAGAGCAAAAGAGCAGCCAGTCAGCTTGGTCTTGATTGAAGACTGTTGCCACAGGACTCCCACCTGCCCCCAGGTGGAACAAGATGGAAGCCCCCTGACCAAACTTCAGAGGCAGTGGAAGACAGGATTGCCTGGCGTGCTCTGGTCCATGGAGTCACGAAAAGTCGGACACGACTAAACAACAACAACAAATCCCCCATGCTACACCCCCAAGACTACATCATGACTACATCATTGACACATCACAAAGAGGAGGGGTTGAGGGAGGAGTTGTGGTGGTAACCTGAGTGTCTTGTTGAGAGCCAGTGGGGTGTAGTGGTTAAGAGCGGTGGACTCATAATCTGGGGAACCGGGTTCGCGTCTTCGCTCCTCCAGATGCAGCTGTTGGGTGACCTTGGGCCAGTCACACTTCTCTGCGGTCTCTCAGCCCCACTCACCTCACAGAGTGTTTGCTGTGGGGGAGGAAGGGAAAGGAGAATGCTAGCCGCTTTGAGATTCCTTCGGGTAGTGATAAAGCGGGATATCAAATCCAAACTCTTCTTCTTCTTCTTCTTGTCACCTGCCCAGTTGCTCCTTTCCTCTCCCCATGATTACATTCCTGAGGACAAAGAGGAGTTCATGTGTTTCCTGCAACACATGAATCCCAATCCCAAAGAAGGGCAGTGCCCAAGAATGCTCCACCTATCATACAATTGCCCTCATTTCACACTCTAGCAAGGTTATGCTTAAAATACTACAAGGCAGGCTTAAGCAGTATGTGGACCGAGAACTCCCAGAAGTGTAAGCTGGATTTCGAAGGGGCAGAGGAACCAGAGACCAAATTGCAAACATGCGCTGGATTATGGAGAAAGCTAGAGAGTTCCAGAAAGACATCTACTTCTGCTTCATTGACTATGCAAAACCATTTGACTGGGTCAACCACAGCAAACGATGGCAAGTTCTTAAAGAAATGGGAGTGCCTGATCACCTCATCTGTCTCCTCATCTATGTGGGACAAGAAGCTACAGTTAGAACTGGATATGGAATAACTGATTGGTTCAAAATTGAGATAGGAGTGTGACAAGGCTTTAAATTGTCTCCCTGCTTATTTAACGTAGATGCAGAATTCATCATGCGAAAGGCTGGAATGGATGAATCCTGTAATAAAAAATTAAGGTTGATACGGAAGGGGGGGCATGTTTGTCAACCCCCTTCCCAGAAGCCTTCAGAGGGTTTGAGGCGATGACCTCAAGGGCGCCCGGCCCTACAAGGACCCCCCAGCCCCCTCACTCTTTTGCACTAAGCACCAGGCGAAGCCCAAGCCCCCAAATAAAGTGCCCTTTCCTGCGCCCTTTCCCTTTCCCTGGGTAGACCGGAGGAGCGAGTAGCGTATTTTATGAATGAACAGACTAGTTGCCTACGGGAGCGTCCTGACCAATCAGCCTGCACCCAACGCAGCCTCCAGCCAATCAAGACAATGCATTTGGTCTGCAGTGTCAGCTCTTGCAGGCCTCAGTCACCTTCTGACAAGCTGTTGACAGCTCCCTGCGGGGGAACAATGGACTGACACCTCGTATCCTTGCTAAGCCCATCCAAATTGATACAATCTATCAATTCGCTTCCCAAATGAGCTGCCACTCTTTCAAAGGGCTAAAAAAGTATTAAAATTCATAGAAAATCACCCGCACCACCGATTCTCTTGCTTTCAATGCCAAACTGCTCAATTTACTCAGGACTTCAAGACTGCCCAGTACCTTCCATAATCCCTCAAGCGGGAGGTCACGGTCACGTACACCCAGGAAAGACCTCATTGATGCCAAATCACCCAGTCTAGCCCTTCCTCCAGGCTCGGCCGGGTCACAGACTATGCAAACTAAGACCCCATTGCTCTCTTATCACCGGTAATCAGAATGTGCCTTTCAATACATGTTTCAACTCTGCATGTTTCCCCCTCCCTCCTCCATATGTTAATCCTGTAGAACCCACCCCTTTTCTGATGTAATCGTGATGTAGCAATGATGTAGTGATGATGCTTTTGAACTGTATCTGGGGTAATGGTGGGAAGTTTTAAAAGTTCATGTCACCCCATCCTCGGGGTTCAATCTCGCCTTGAACCTGTTGCACAACAAACGTGGATCTTCTCCAACTTGCTGCAGTCTCTGGCTGCGCTCCTTTTGTTCCGCAGGGACCCGCGGACTCAGTCCGACGAGCTAGGTGGCAGAGCAGCCTCACACCTAGATTTTCCGTAACAAGGTCTTATAATATACAATAAATGTTCATAAATGTACCAACCAAGCGCATACATAGATATGTGGACCACATGTCTGGAGCAGCACAGGAAGAGCGTCCTGAAACCATTTAGACTCCCCAACTGACCAAATGTTTTCTCTGCAAGGAGGGAGCGGGTGAGGGAACCTTCCCATTGTCTCAGGAATTGGGAAATCACCATCTCAAAGGAATGGCCAGACTACCAGGAAAGGGAATCAGATAAGGCATTATCAGATAACCTGGCAGACGGGAAAAACAACAACATTCAAATTTCTGTTGTAGACCGCCTTTTCTGTGATGTAGGTATGTTGGGAATCAAGCCTTTATCAGGAGAAACTGGCCACTCTCCAGGCACCCGGCTTGATCTCCTGTTGACCTCCCTGTCTGCATTCCCCAGCAGGATCCAGGCAGAGGTCGCGATAGGCGATCCTTCTCAGAGTGAGAAGAACACCCCCCTCTTTCCTGCCCCCCCAGGCGGGGAAAGAGATAGACAGCAACGTATTTACATGCCTTTATTTCTGTCTTTGCAGCGTTACAAAAATCATGACTGCTCTCTTCAAGCTCCAGCAGTCGAGAGACAAACTCCTCCTGTACTTCCTGTACAGCTCATATTACACTCTCAGCTAATTCCGGTGCCCTCTGCACTGTGAATTGACTGTCCCTCTGTTTCCCACGGAACAGTCCCAACATTCCCATTAGGTTTTGCTTTCAAGCTACCAGCTCGCGGCCGCATTGCTTCTATATCGTAACATACTCCCCCATATGAATCAATGTGCGCTGCGAGCAAAGCGTGATCCAGAGAAGAAAACAAATAGTTGTTATATATATAACACTCCCTGTTGTTTCAGTTCCACCCTTGGAACTACCCGCCACTGGTTTCCCCAGTGTACCTCTCTGGTTGTCTGACTTCCAAGGAATGAGTGCATCTGCATTACCTTGGCTAGGGAATGTAGTGTTACACTTAGCAACTCTCTGTTGTGTCTTTGTCTCTGACTTAGACACAGCTTCAACCTGTAGTCCAAAAACAGGTGGAGGCCCAAGGTTGGGAAATGCTGCTCTAGTGACCCCAGGGTCTGGAAAGAACTGGAGTTCCAGCGAGGCTAACCAGAGGAAGCAACGCTTGATCAGGCCGGCCTCAAATTGATTTATTTTTTTAAATAATCTTTTTTGATTTAAATTACACACATATACAAAGAATTTGGAATCTCATACTGCAAAAATAAAATTAAAGAAAAAACGAGGAAGAAAAAAGGAAAGAAGAAAATACAGAAAAGAAAGAAAAAGCAGATTTATGTGCATGATTAATTAAATAAAAAAGACTTCTGACAAAACGAGTCTTCCAATCATTCTCATTGTGCTGTTTATACTGCCGTTGTTTCTTTCGCACAGTTTTATATTCTTTAATATTGTTCCCGTCTACTCCACAAACAGTATTTGTTGTGTTTACAAGTATCACTCATGTTCTGCTAATATGGTGTGGTTGGTACAATATGATCTTATATAATCCTTAAATATTCTCCATTCTCCAAATATTTTCCGGTTCAGTACTCCTCTAACTCTTCCCGTCAGTTTTGCTAGTTGTAACTATTCTAACATGAGTATATGGCTTCTCTTGGTGATGTCCACAAGGGTATTTTTGGCTCAAGTAGTCCTTTATATTTATTCCAGATTTTATATCACGATTTTCTTATCACATGGCTCAAAAATCCCCTGTGGACCTTCACTTTTGGTATATTAAAGAAGCGTGCCATCCAGACCGATTCTTGTGGCCTTCCAAGTCTAATATGTCCGTATCTTTTAGTGTAATCCTGTCTTTTATCCAAACCAATCCTGCCACCGCATGGTAGAATTCCAAATCTGGCAATGCAAAACCTCCTCTCTCCTTTTGATCTGTTAATAACTGGTGTTTAATTCTCGGTTTCTTTCCACTCCATATAAATCGAGATATTTCCCTTTGCCACTCCTTAAAACAATTCATTCCTCCTAAAATGAGCATTGTTTGGAATAAGAACATCATTTTGGGGAGGATATTCATTTTCACAACCGAGACTCTTCCCCAGAGTGAGAGATGGAGTTTGGTCCAGGTTTCCATATTTTTAAAAAGTTCTTTCCATACTTTACTATAATTATCCTCATATACATTTATACTTTTATTTGAAATCCAGATCCCTAGGTATTTAACCTTATTTTTTAGTTTCCAGGCCTGTTTTTTCTTGAAGTTCTTTTTTTTCTTACATTGTGAGGCTTTTTGTCAGTAATTTAGTTTTTTGGTAGTTTATTTGCAGCCCCAGGCTGGCCATGAATTAATCTAGTAAAAGACCCTGGGATGGCCAGGAGCAGCGCATGCGGACGTGAGTCTAGGAATGGAGAAGATTGTGGGCGGGATTCTCTGAAACACCCAGCAACCCAGATTCTCATCCTTGGCTGTCTCTTCTGCTTACGGTCTTCACTCCCAGCCTTCCTGGCAAGAGGTAGCTAGGAGGGGGAGGGGAGAACGGGAGAATTGGGGTTCTGCAATTAGAGAGGCAATTGACTGCAAGGGGAGAACGCCAATGAAAGCTCTCATTCCCTGTCGGGGAACCTGAGATCTGAAACTTTTCCTTTTCCCCAAGGAAGACGCCCCAAGGCTGGTCCAAGTGGCCACTTTGGATAGCAAGGGACTTGGGCTCGGTTTCCGATTTCTCTTTTTCTCGTAAATGCAGCTGCACCGGCAGCACCAGGATCCGGAAGGAAGTGACTGGTGCGCGTCAGAGCGCAAGAGCATTTCCAGTTCCTTTCCGTTCTCTCTGGAGCAGCCGGATTTGGCACTGGGCTGCCAGGCGTCCAATGGAAAGGGACTCTTTTCCCTAGAGGCAGAAAAGGTTGCTGGGACCCCATGGTAAATAAAGGGAGGGAGAAGGACTTTGTAGAGACCTTCGTAGAGAAGACGAACGACTGTCAGGTCAGGAAAGACCTGGGAAAAGGCTAGCGGGTTTTTGTTTCTGTTTTGGCTTTGGTTGAAAAATGGGATCCCCACATTCTAAGCGTTCTAACCGCCACACTCAGAGGCATGTGCTGGTCGCAGCAGGAGGGAGTCTCCTGGATGCTTCAGCAGCCGGCCTCCTCTGGGTCTCCTGGCCCCCTCCTCTCCTCCCTCCGAGCCTGAACTGCTCTCTGCCCCAGACTCTTCCCGCTCACCTAACCCAGTTTCCTCCTCAGCTTGCAACATCTCCCCTTCCGGTCTGCTCCCTTTTCTCCCTCTTTCGCCTCATCCCATCACCAGTCAACAGGATCTGAGCCTTCTTGCCTTGTGGGTCCCCCAGCTTGTGCCTCCCCCTCACCAGCCAGTCCTTGACAACAACAGCAGCCACAGCACTGTGGTCCTCTGGTAGGAAAACTCCTGAGAAGCATGATTGAAGCAAACCTTCTGGGACTATGGAAAAATGCTATCTTCCTCAAACCCCAGAATGAGCAGGTGCTCTGGGGTTGCCCCATGGGGTTCATGAGTGAAGATGGGCCCCCCAGGAGACTTCCCTGCTACCTGCAGCCCCTCCTTCCCCCTCTTGAAATTAGACTTGGGGGGGGGGAATCTCCCATTCAATTACAGTATTTCAAGCTTTCTTCAGAACGCGCAGGGCAGGAGGCAGCGATGAAGTTCTGGTGAAGAAGCAGTGCTTGGAGATCATGTGGTGGTGGTGGGGGGTGAGAGAGTTTGGTACAAAAACCAAAAGTACTTTCATCTAAAATTATACTCACCATTGTGAGATGCTGCCTTCATTATTTGATTATTATAATGTTTTACATATAAACACCAGAACTTCACATATCCCTGATGCTTTTAGGAATGATTTCCTGCTGAGTTCATTGCTCAGAGTGGACTCTGAGAGGAAGAAGTCCCACACTCCATACATCTAAATGGGTTCTCCCATGTGAGAGTCCTGGGATGCTCCTTAAATACTCCGTTATAAATAAAGCACTTCTTGCAATCTTTTCATTTAAACTGCTTCTCCTCTCTGAGTTTGTTGATGGTTTGAAGGGTTTCAACTCTTAAAGTTCTTCCTGTCCGTGAGTCTGTTGATTTTGAACTTCCACTAAGAGTGAACCTCTATCTACTTTCCTGATACTTATACGGTTTGTCTTTTGTGTGAGTTTCTGACATAAATCAAGGGTTCCACTCTGACTGAAGCTCCTTCCACAGTCCATACCTTTAAATGGTTTATCCCCTGTGTATCTACTGATGTTTTCTAAGATTTCCACTCTGAGTGAAGTATTTACTGTACTCCATACATTGAAATGGTTTCTCCCCTCTGTGAGTCTGTTGATGTCTTCTAAGGCTTCCACTATAACTGAAGCGTTTTCCACACTCGATACATTTAAATGGTTTCTCCCCTGTGTGAGTCCGTTGATGTGATCTAAGGCTTGTATTACAACGGAAACTCTTTCCACACTCGATACATTTATGTGGTTTCTCCCCTGTGTGAGTCTGTTGATGTCTTCTAAGGCTTCCACTAGAACTGAAGCACTTTCCACACTCGATACATTGAAATGGTTTCTCCCCTGTGTGACTCCGTTGATGTGATCTAAGCTCTCCACTATTACTAAAGCTCTTTTCACACTCCATACAATGAAATGGTTTCTCCCCTGTGTGAGTCTGTTGATGTCTTCTAAGGCTTCCACTCTGACTGAAGCGCTTTCCACACTCCATACATTTAAATGGTTTCTCTCCTGTATGAGTCCGTTGATGTGATCTAAGGCTTGTATTACAACGGAAACTCTTTCCACACTCGATACATTTAAATGGTTTCTCCCCTGTGTGAGTCTGTTGATGTCTTCTAAGGCTTCCACTAGAACTGAAGCACTTTCCACACTCGATACATTGAAATGGTTTCTCCCCTGTGTGACTCCGTTGATGTGATCTAAGCTCTCCACTATTACTAAAGCTCTTTTCACACTCCATACAATGAAATGGTTTCTCCCCTGTGTGAGTCTGTTGATGTCTTCTAAGGCTTCCACTCTGACTGAAGCGCTTTCCACACTCCATACATTTAAATGGTTTCTCTCCTGTATGAGTCCGTTGATGTGATCTAAGGCTTGTATTACAACGGAAACTCTTTCCACACTCGATACATTTATGTGGTTTCTCCCCTGTGTGAGTCTGTTGATGTCTTCTAAGGCTTCCACTAGAACTGAAGCACTTTCCACACTCGATACATTGAAATGGTTTCTCCCCTGTGTGACTCCGTTGATGTGATCTAAGCTCTCCACTATTACTAAAGCTCTTTTCACACTCCATACAATGAAATGGTTTCTCCCCTGTGTGAGTCCGTTCATGATTTCTAAGGTTTCCACTCTGATTGAAGCTCTTTCCACACTCGATACATTTAAATGGTTTCTCTCCTGTATGAGTCCGTTGATGTGATCTAAGGCTTGTATTACAACGGAAACTCTTTCCACACTCGATACATTTATGTGGTTTCTCCCCTGTGTGAGTCTGTTGATGTCTTCTAAGGCTTGCACTCCGACTGAAGCACTTTCCACACTCGATACATTGAAATGGTTTCTCCCCTGTGTGACTCCGTTGATGTGATCTAAGCTCTCCACTATTACTAAAGCTCTTTTCACACTCCATACAATGAAATGGTTTCTCCCCTGTGTGAGTCCGTTCATGATTTCTAAGGTTTCCACTCTGATTGAAGCTCTTTCCACACTCGATACATTTAAGTGGTTTCTCCCCTGTGTGAGTCCGTTGATGTGTTCTAAGGTGTGCACTCTGACTGAAGCTCTTTCCACACTCCATGCATTCAAATGGTTTCTCCCCTGTGTGAGTCCGTTGATGTGTTCTAAGGTCTCCACTCTGACTGAAGCTCTTTCCACACTCGATACATTTAAATGGTTTCTCCCCTGTGTGAGTCCGTTCATGTCTTCTAAGGTTTCCACTCTGATTGAAGCTCTTTCCACACTCGATACATTTAAGTGGTTTCTCCCCTGTGTGAGTCCGTTGATGTGTTCTAAGGTGTGCACTCTGACTGAAGCTCTTTCCACACTCGATACATTTAAGTGGTTTCTCTCCTGTATGAGTCCGCTGATGTGATCTAAGGTGTGCACTCTGACTGAAGCT